GCATTGCAATCCCGAGCTCGACAGGAGGGGAAAGGGAAGAGGGAGGGGCAGCCGGGGCAGCAAGGGCAGCAAGGGATGCAGCAAGAGGAGCAGGAGAGGCAGCAGGAGGGGACACAGGGGTACCCAAGTCGCCTCGAGGGGGGGTGGTGAAGGGAGGGGGACAGAAAGAGACAGCAGGTGAGGCAATGGCGAGACACAACGAGGCCATGCGCTTGAAACGAGCGGCTCTGGCTCAGTCCGCCGCTGCTGCTTCTGCTTCTGCTGCTGTTGATGCCGGTGCAAACGGCACTGCTCCTGCAACGGCCACAGCAACACCAGCAGCAGCTGGAGCAGCAGCAATTTCCACTGCCCCTGCTCCCTCGCAAGTAGAGGCAGCCCCGGCCTACCTCCCCAACCCCCTCTCGCAGCTTCCCGGAACCTTCTCGGCAGTTTCTCACCTGATGTATTCATCTGGGCTCAGCGCGTGGCTTTCTCCCGGAGCTAGCCCGGCTGGTTCAGCTGCTCACACTCCTGCTGGTTCGGTTGCTGGTTCGGCCACTCACACTCCCGCAGGTTCGGTTGCAGGTTCGGCCGCTCACACGCCTGCTGTGTCTGATGACGACAGCAGCCCTCGCAAGCAGCGGCCTGTTAGGCTTGGCCGAATGGGAGATCAGCAGCAGCAGCAGCAGCAGCAGCAGCAGCACCAGGTGCTGCTGTTGCTGCTTTGGCAAATTCTCATTGGTTGTAGACAAGATAGCACGTGTCTTGTGGGTGTAATGCTCTTTGTAGGCGTCCAATGGGTGTTTTGTAAAAGCCTATCTTGAAAAAATGTAATCAATTCTGATGTATGGGAGATTGAATTGAGAGTCATAAAAGAAGTAAAAGCACTGCCATTATATGTGAGTTTGGTTCTGTAGAGGTTATGTTTAGTGTGCATGGAGCGTTACTTAGCGAAGGTGGCGAGAAAATCATTATTTTCCTGGCGAAGACGTCACTGAGTGGCCAACCTCCCTGAGGGGCCCACGTGTGCGGAAGATTTCGTACCGCCCTCCGCACGTCAATGAACCAATCATATCATTCGCGGCAATCCCGAATTTGTGGTGCGCAGCAGCGCAGTCGCGGGGGAAGTCCTCTCCCTTGCGCCTGCTGTTCTCTCCACTTTGCCCCTGCTGCCCAGTTCGGCCCAAGCGGAGGCTACGCGCAAAAACGAAGGCGCGAAGCCCCCGCTCCCTCCCAAGTCCCCTCCCCACCAAAACCTCATATCGCATCGGACGGTTTCCAGGTTTTTCTTTGCTTCTTCACTGCATCTTAACCGTCAAAAGTTGTATCCTCTTCGTCCCAGCCTTCCTCCGCTTTCTCCCCTTATCCCTTTCCCCATACCCCGGCGGCATGCACAGCTAACACCTAACTGCCGCTTCCTACCCCGCCCCACCTCACCTTAACCCACCCCACTCAACCGCATTATATCTGGAATGTCTGTTACTAAGCCAACAAAACTGCATTGTCGTCGTCCTGTCAGGCAACGAATTCTGGGCATCGCGTCGCCTCTAATCAAGCATCCGAGAAGCGCCATTGACTGCTGTTGTGGTGAAAGAAAATACAAAAGGTGCAGATAGTTCAATCTGTATGAGACGAAATTCGTTTCGCGCGGCGAAGCCCGCTGAACCCTCGCCGTATAAATCCATGGCCACGTCATCTTCCACGTCAGCAGAAGCAGCGGACGTCGTGGCAGCACGGCGACGGCCGCACGACGACTCGTCCGACGCGTCCGTTCCGCTAATCACGCCGCTCATATCGCCGTCTCCGCCAAATCCGCCGCGGTTTCAGCCTTTCGAACTCGATCATGCCGATGCACCCGCGCCGTCCTCTCCGAATCGCGTTCACAGTGCCACGTGTCATCGCGGCTCGAGAAGTCGCTGGCGGAGCCTTCTTGCGAGATTTTCCTCTTACCTGCCTCAGCCCCTCCCCCTCCTCTCGTCTTATATCGAAAACTCCTGCTCTTGCTCCGCTTCAAGCACACCCGTTACAAGTACTTTCGGCAGTCAGTTTTCCGCCTTAATACCTCGTAGCTATTCCCATTCGCTACTAGAAATTCGCCGCTATTCGCCACGTGTCCTCTGCCTATTGGCCCTCCTACTCTTCCTCTGCCCCTCTCTCCTCTTTCTCTTCTTTCCCCAGTCATCCAATCTCCTTCGAGCGCTCTCCTCCCTCCTCCAATCCGAAGGCGCCACGTGTCCCGCGGCTGTCACGGGTCTGGCGCACGTGTACCAGCTGAATCCGCGCTTCGGCGCGCATTTCGAGGGCGAGGCGGAATTCGCGCTGTGGGAATCGCGGTGCGGGGGAGGCGGGAGAGGCGGGGGAGGGGGAAGGAGAGGGGGAAGGGGAGGGGGAGACGTTGGGGGGAGTGGGGAAGACGGGAACGATGGTGTGTCTAACGAAGAGGCTCTTATGGGAGGGGGGGAGTATAGCCTGAGTGACTATAGCGCAGGTGCCTCAAGAGGAGGTGATGACGTGGCAGGAAGAAGGGAGCGACGAACATGGGAAAGAATGTGGAAAGGGAGGGCGGGAAGCGGGAGCAGAGGGGGGGAGCTGGGGAAGGCGGGGCTGGGGGCGGGGAAGGGGAGGGAGAGGGGATGGAGGAAAGGGGGAGTGTGGGGGGAGGGGAAGGAGTGGAGGGAGGAGGCCGGGTTGAGAAGGCTGAGGCGATTGCTGCAGAGAGATGAGGAGAGAGTTCAGGTGAGAATTCAGGTGAGAGCTCAGATGAGAGTTCAGGTGAAAGTTCAGGGTTTAGGGTTCAGGTGAGAGTTCCGGCCTTCACCCCCATCCACTCCTCTGCCCCAGTCCCACCCCCCATCCCCCGCTTTCACCCCCCACTGTTCAGCCGCCCCCATCAGAGGCAGCAGTCAGCACAGGTAGAGTTGTATTTTGAGGCGCCTTAAAAATCAATGTATTTAAAAGGAGGCGTTTCCTTTTAGATACATTGATTTTTAAGGTGCCTCAAAATACGTCTCAGTTTTGAGGCGCCTCAAAATGCAGTCAGCACAGGTAGAGTTGAATTGGGCGTTTCGTTTGGAATTCATTGATCTAAAACAACGTTCCCCTCAACTCAACCCCTTCTCGTCCTTTTATTTCCCACCCCCCCTCCTCCCCCTCGCCTCCCCACCCCCCACATGATCAGGTGCGCAGCAGGCAGGACAATGCAGCAGCAGCAGCAGCAGCAGCAGCAGCAGCCGTGGCAGCAGCAGCAACAGAAACCCTCTCCGCCCTGCCCCTCTCATCCCTCCCACCCCCCACATAATCAGGCGCGCAGCAGGCAGCACAATGCAGCAGCAGTGGCGGCAGCAGCTGGCGCCACAGTACCAGGTGGCGGCCTGCGATTGGTCAAGGGGTCATCGGCGGCAGTGACTCGCATTCATGGGCGCATCTTCCCTGAGGGGTGAGAGAGCAGGGTGGGAGGGGAATGGGAATGGGTAGGGATCGGTGGGTAGGGTCGTCAGCAGTGACTCGCATTCATGGGCGCATCTTCCCTGAGGGGTGAGCCGGAGGGTGGGGATGGTAGCGGATGGGATGGGGGAGTGGTGGTAAGGGGTGGTAGGGAATGAATGCAGTATGGGCTTTATCCATGTTTCCCTTATCTCGCCCCCCCCCAGCCCCAGGCTTTACTACATAGCAGTGGGACTCGGCACACTCCCCCGCACCTACTTTCTCGACATAGACACGGGAAGCCACGTCTCCTGGGTGGCGTGCGATGCTATGTCATGCCCCTGTGTCCCCTCCCCATTCCTCCCCTCGCGCCCCCGCTTCCCTTATTCCTCCCTTGTCCCTCCGCTGTCTTCCCCCCCAGGCTTTACTACATAGCAGTGGGACTTGGCACACCCCCCCGCACCTACTTTCTCGACATAGACACGGGAAGCCACGTCTCCTGGGTGGCGTGCGATGCTATGTCATGCCCCTGTGTCCCCTCCCCATTCCTCCCCTCGCGCCCCCGCTTCCCTTATTCCTCCCTTGTCCCTCCGCTGTCTTCCCCCCCAAGCTCTACAACGTAGCAGTGGGTCTCGGCACACCCCCCGCACCTACTCTCTGGACATAGACACAGGCAGCCACATTTCCTGGGTGGCTTGGCATGCTCCCATTCTGTCTTGTCTTGCACCCCACTGCTAGGAGCGGGGGGGGGGGGGGGGGCATGCTCACATTGCCTGTGTCTATGCTCCCATTCTGTCTTGTCTTGCACCCCTGTCTGCAATTTCCCCAATCTTTCCTCTGTCCCAACCCCTCTTCCCCCCCCCCCCCAGGCTTTACTACATAGCAGTGGGACTTGGCACGCCTCCCCGCACCTATTTTCTCGACATAGACACCGGAAGCCATGTCTCCTGGGTGGCCTGCGATGCTCCCTGCGTGAACTGCGCTCAGGTGGGCTTCTGTTGCGTTCAGGTGATTCTTCTGTTGCGCTCTGGGTGGGGGTTCTATCACGTCCTTACCAACCCCCATGTTGCATGTCCTGTGCTCTCAAAGACAGAGCAACTTTCTCACTTCCCTCTTTCGTGCTCTCTCTCACTTCCCTCTTGTTTTCTCTGGTACGATCCATCCCTCGTGGATTGCCATTCCAACCTCTGGGCAGACTGTTGGGTCGTCTCAGTATACCTTTTTCCTCATGTGTTGTTCTTGCTTTCATTCCTCTCCTTCCCCTCTCAGGGCCCCAACCCATGGTACGACCCCTCCCATGCCTCCCTCGTGGACTGCCATTCCGACCTCTGCGAAGCCGCACAGACAGGCTTTAACAGAGAGACATGTGACCTGCCTACTCCCCACCCCTCCCTTGCCTCCCTGCGTTTTCCCCCATATTGCTGCTAATCTTGCCTTGCTTTCCCCAACTCAGGGCCCCAACCCATGGTACGACCCCTCCCATGCCTCTCTGGTAGACTGCCATTCCGACCTCTGCCAAGCCGCACAGACAGGCTTCATCCGAGGCTGCTCCTCAGGCTCGGAAGACGAGCCTTCAGGCCCGGAAGATGCCGAAGCTGTGGATGCGGGTCGGGTTGAAGAGGGCGTTCATACCAAGCCACGGCATCTACAAGAGGCGTCCAGAGAGGTTATGAACGGTACCAGCTGCTGCTGCTGCTGCTGCTGGTGCTGCTGGTGACAGTAACAAGAGTGACAAGAACAAGGGTAACAATACCAAGAGTGGCAGTGACAGCAGCAGCAGCAGCGGGCAGTGTGACTATGACATAGTCTACGCGGATGGAAGCAGCTCCCAGGGTGTGCTTGTAACGGATAGGTTACTGTTCCTGCACCCTTCTGGCACACTCAAGGCCACACCGTTCACATTCGGGTGTGCATACGACCAGGAGGGGGATCTTGCCGTCTCCCCTGCTCGCTCCGATGGCGTGTTGGGTCTTGGCCCTTCCAACCTCTCTCTCCCGGCACAGGTGCGTGAACTTGGGACAATTTTTTAGTCGACTAAAAAAACGTCTCATTACATTCGGGTGTGCATGCGACCAGGAGGGGGTGTTAAGGCTCGGCCCTTCCAACCAGCCTTCTCTCTTCCCTCCCAGGTGCCACTTCTCTCTTCTTGCTCTCTCGCACTCCCCCACGAGCTTTGGTCAATGCTCTCTCGCTCTCAAACCCTCTTTTCATCCTCCCCTCGTTCTCCCCCTTCCTTCTCCTCCCCGCCCCCCCCCCCTTCCCCCACCATCCCCGCCAGCTGTCCAGAGCAGGGGCAGGGCGCAACGTGTTCGGCCACTGTCTCGACTCGGCAGCATCTGGGGGAGGTTACTTCTTCATTGGGGAGGCGCTTTTGCCCAGCACCCTCACGTGGACGCCCCGTGCTGCATTGAGTGACTCGTGAGTGAGGGAGGAGAGATACAAGGTTGGTTCTTACCTCGTGAGTGACTCTTACCCAGCGCCCTCACCTGGACGCCCCGTGCTGCATTGAGTGACTCGTGAGTGAGAGAGGAGTGACTGAGGGCGAGGAGAGATGAAAGACTGGTTCTGCCACTGGTTGGTCATTGGGGAAGCTCTCGTACCCAGTACCCTCACGGTGAGGGCCTCACCTGGACGGCCCCATGCTGCTGTAAGTGACTCGTGAGTGACGGAGTGACTGAGGGCGAGGCGACATGAAAGACTGGTTCTGCCACTGGTTGGTCATTGGGTAGGCGCTCTTATGCAGGGCTGTCACCTGGACGCCCCGTGCTGCATCAAGTGACTCGTGAGTGGGTGGGGGTGTGAGGGAGTGAGTGAGGTAGTGACTGAGTGAGTGAGTGAGTGAGTGCGTGTGCGAGTGAGTGTGTGAGTGAGTCATTCCCTCCTTCCCATATCATTTCTGCCTCTTCTATTTCCAATCCCCTCTCCCCCATCACAGCCGCTACTACCACGCATCGCTCCTCCACATCTCCTACGGTTCCAAGAAGCTTGCCATCGACGATCCCAAGGCGCTCCACAACAAGCACGCAGGCTCTCAATCTGCTAATAACGAGGATGGTGGAGTGGAGAGCGGAGGGGCAATTTTCGACTCTGGGTCTTCATTCGCCTACCTGCCTGCTGCTCTCTTTGATGCTCTGCTAGAGATGGTGAGGGGGATTCTTACGCGGGTGGAATGTGTCTGTTCGCCTGCCTGCTGCGCCCTTTGAGGCGATGCTGCAATTAGTGAGCGAGTTTCTTACTCGGGTGGAGTGCCTCTGTTCACCTGCTGCTTATAACGAGGATGGGGGAGTGGAGAGAGGAGGGGCGATATTGGACTCAGGGTCGTCGTTCGCCTACCTGCCTGCTGCTCCCTTTGAGGCGCTGCTAGAAATGGTGAGAAAGGTTTCCTCAGATGCATGGATCGGAAGAGCTTACTGCTATGGTGTGTCTGTTGGCTTACCTGCTGCTGTGTTCGTCTCTGGGTCGTCATTTGCTTACCTGCCTGCTGCTGCTACTTTCAAACCATTTCTGGAGATGGTGAGTGGGAGTTTCAAACGAGGAGACTTCTGAGTCGACTCATCAACACCTCATTCTTAGGATGGTGAGTGGGAGTTTCAAACGAGGAGACTTCTGAGTCGACTCATCAACACCTCATTCTTAGGATGGTGAGTGGGAGTTCCAAACGTGCTCTAAACGTCGCCTCACTTGCTTTGAGGGAGTTCCAAACGAGTTGGATTGTGAAGCAAGTGAAGTGTGCTTTGGCTTGGCCCTCTTCTGACGGGTTTTGAGGCACCTCAAAACTTTGGCTTGGCCCTCAAAACTTTGGCTTGGCCCTCAAAACTTTGGCTTGGCCCTCAAAACTTTGGCTTGGCCCTCAAAACTTTGGCTTGGCCCTCAAAACTTTGGCTTGGCCCTCTTCTGCTGCCAGCATGGCGCGTCTTTTCCCATCGCTCCTCCCTTTTCCTCTTCTGCTGCCAGCATGGCGCATCTTTTCCCATCGCTCCTCCCTTTTCCTCCTCTTCCCTTCCCACGTAGCAGCCGATGCAGTTGCAGCAGCAGGCACGCAGGCAGACACCAGCGCGTGCGACTGTGCTACCCCACTGCTGGCAGGCGGGCGGGTGTGGCACACCAGGTAACAAAGAACTGCTCCGGGAAGGCTAGTTTTGAGACGCCTCAAAACTCGACTGTGCTACCCCACTGCTGGCGGGCGGGTAGGTGTGGCACACCAGGTAAGAAAGAAGTGCTCCAACAAGAACCAGGGAAGTAGCGCCAGTTCTTGTAACCTCCCTGACGCTACTTCCCTGGTTCTTGGAACCAGTTACCTCCCTGACGCTACTTCCCTGGTTCTTGGAACCAGTTACCTCCCTGACGCTACTTCCCTGGTTCTTGGAACCAGTTACCTCCCTGACGCTACTTCCCTGGTTCTTGGAACCAGTTACCTCCCTGACGCTACTTCCCTGGTTCTTGGAACCAGTTACCTCCCTGACGCTACTTCCCTGGTTCTTGGAACCAGTTACCTCCCTGACGCTACTTCCCTGGTTCTTGGAACCAGTTACCTCCCTGACGCTACTTCCCTGGTTCTTGGAACCAGTTACCTCCCTGACGCTACTTCCCTGGTTCTTGGAACCAGTTACCTCCCTGACGCTACTTCCCTGGTTCTTGGAACCAGTTACCTCCCTGACGCTACTTCCCTGGTTCTTGGAACCAGTTACCTCCCTGACGCTACTTCCCTGGTTCTTGGAACCAGTTACCTCCCTGACGCTACTTCCCTGGTTCTTGGAACCAGTTACCTCCCTGACGCTACTTCCCTGGTTCTTGGAACCAGTTACCTCCCTGACGCTACTTCCCTGGTTCTTGGAACCAGTTACCTCCCTGACGCTACTTCCCTGGTTCTTGGAACCAGTTACCTCCCTGACGCTACTTCCCTGGTTCTTGGAACCAGTTACCTCCCTGACGCTACTTCCCTGGTTCTTGGAACCAGTTACCTCCCTGACGCTACTTCCCTGGTTCTTGGAACCAGTTACCTCCCTGACGCTACTTCCCTGGTTCTTGGAACCAGTTACCTCCCTGACGCTACTTCCCTGGTTCTTGGAACCAGTTACCTCCCTGACGCTACTTCCCTGGTTCTTGGAACCAGTTACCTCCCTGACGCTACTTCCCTGGTTCTTGGAACCAGTTACCTCCCTGACGCTACTTCCCTGGTTCTTGGAACCAGTTACCTCCCTGACGCTACTTCCCTGGTTCTTGGAACCAGTTACCTCCCTGACGCTACTTCCCTGGTTCTTGGAACCAGTTACCTCCCTGACGCTACTTCCCTGGTTCTTGGAACCAGTTACCTCCCTGACGCTACTTCCCTGGTTCTTGGAACCAGTTACCTCCCTGACGCTACTTCCCTGGTTCTTGGAACCAGTTACCTCCCTGACGCTACTTCCCTGGTTCTTGGAACCAGTTACCTCCCTGACGCTACTTCCCTGGTTCTTGGAACCAGTTACCTCCCTGACGCTACTTCCCTGGTTCTTGGAACCAGTTACCTCCCTGACGCTACTTCCCTGGTTCTTGGAACCAGTTACCTCCCTGACGCTACTTCCCTGGTTCTTGGAACCAGTTACCTCCCTGACGCTACTTCCCTGGTTCTTGGAACCAGTTACCTCCCTGACGCTACTTCCCTGGTTCTTGGAACCAGTTACCTCCCTGACGCTACTTCCCTGGTTCTTGGAACCAGTTACCTCCCTGACGCTACTTCCCTGGTTCTTGGAACCAGTTACCTCCCTGACGCTACTTCCCTGGTTCTTGGAACCAGTTACCTCCCTGACGCTACTTCCCTGGTTCTTGGAACCAGTTACCTCCCTGACGCTACTTCCCTGGTTCTTGGAACCAGTTACCTCCCTGACGCTACTTCCCTGGTTCTTGGAACCAGTTACCTCCCTGACGCTACTTCCCTGGTTCTTGGAACCAGTTACCTCCCTGACGCTACTTCCCTGGTTCTTGGAACCAGTTACCTCCCTGACGCTACTTCCCTGGTTCTTGGAACCAGTTACCTCCCTGACGCTACTTCCCTGGTTCTTGGAACCAGTTACCTCCCTGACGCTACTTCCCTGGTTCTTGGAACCAGTTACCTCCCTGACGCTACTTCCCTGGTTCTTGGAACCAGTTACCTCCCTGACGCTACTTCCCTGGTTCTTGGAACCAGTTACCTCCCTGACGCTACTTCCCTGGTTCTTGGAACCAGTTACCTCCCTGACGCTACTTCCCTGGTTCTTGGAACCAGTTACCTCCCTGACGCTACTTCCCTGGTTCTTGGAACCAGTTACCTCCCTGACGCTACTTCCCTGGTTCTTGGAACCAGTTACCTCCCTGACGCTACTTCCCTGGTTCTTGGAACCAGTTACCTCCCTGACGCTACTTCCCTGGTTCTTGGAACCAGTTACCTCCCTGACGCTACTTCCCTGGTTCTTGGAACCAGTTACCTCCCTGACGCTACTTCCCTGGTTCTTGGAACCAGTTACCTCCCTGACGCTACTTCCCTGGTTCTTGGAACCAGTTACCTCCCTGACGCTACTTCCCTGGTTCTTGGAACCAGTTACCTCCCTGACGCTACTTCCCTGGTTCTTGGAACCAGTTACCTCCCTGACGCTACTTCCCTGGTTCTTGGAACCAGTTACCTCCCTGACGCTACTTCCCTGGTTCTTGGAACCAGTTACCTCCCTGACGCTACTTCCCTGGTTCTTGGAACCAGTTACCTCCCTGACGCTACTTCCCTGGTTCTTGGAACCAGTTACCTCCCTGACGCTACTTCCCTGGTTCTTGGAACCAGTTACCTCCCTGACGCTACTTCCCTGGTTCTTGGAACCAGTTACCTCCCTGACGCTACTTCCCTGGTTCTTGGAACCAGTTACCTCCCTGACGCTACTTCCCTGGTTCTTGGAACCAGTTACCTCCCTGACGCTACTTCCCTGGTTCTTGGAACCAGTTACCTCCCTGACGCTACTTCCCTGGTTCTTGGAACCAGTTACCTCCCTGACGCTACTTCCCTGGTTCTTGGAACCAGTTACCTCCCTGACGCTACTTCCCTGGTTCTTGGAACCAGTTACCTCCCTGACGCTACTTCCCTGGTTCTTGGAACCAGTTACCTCCCTGACGCTACTTCCCTGGTTCTTGGAACCAGTTACCTCCCTGACGCTACTTCCCTGGTTCTTGGAACCAGTTACCTCCCTGACGCTACTTCCCTGGTTCTTGGAACCAGTTACCTCCCTGACGCTACTTCCCTGGTTCTTGGAACCAGTTACCTCCCTGACGCTACTTCCCTGGTTCTTGGAACCAGTTACCTCCCTGACGCTACTTCCCTGGTTCTTGGAACCAGTTACCTCCCTGACGCTACTTCCCTGGTTCTTGGAACCAGTTACCTCCCTGACGCTACTTCCCTGGTTCTTGGAACCAGTTACCTCCCTGACGCTACTTCCCTGGTTCTTGGAACCAGTTACCTCCCTGACGCTACTTCCCTGGTTCTTGGAACCAGTTACCTCCCTGACGCTACTTCCCTGGTTCTTGGAACCAGTTACCTCCCTGACGCTACTTCCCTGGTTCTTGGAACCAGTTACCTCCCTGACGCTACTTCCCTGGTTCTTGGAACCAGTTACCTCCCTGACGCTACTTCCCTGGTTCTTGGAACCAGTTACCTCCCTGACGCTACTTCCCTGGTTCTTGGAACCAGTTACCTCCCTGACGCTACTTCCCTGGTTCTTGGAACCAGTTACCTCCCTGACGCTACTTCCCTGGTTCTTGGAACCAGTTACCTCCCTGACGCTACTTCCCTGGTTCTTGGAACCAGTTACCTCCCTGACGCTACTTCCCTGGTTCTTGGAACCAGTTACCTCCCTGACGCTACTTCCCTGGTTCTTGGAACCAGTTACCTCCCTGACGCTACTTCCCTGGTTCTTGGAACCAGTTACCTCCCTGACGCTACTTCCCTGGTTCTTGGAACCAGTTACCTCCCTGACGCTACTTCCCTGGTTCTTGGAACCAGTTACCTCCCTGACGCTACTTCCCTGGTTCTTGGAACCAGTTACCTCCCTGACGCTACTTCCCTGGTTCTTGGAACCAGTTACCTCCCTGACGCTACTTCCCTGGTTCTTGGAACCAGTTACCTCCCTGACGCTACTTCCCTGGTTCTTGGAACCAGTTACCTCCCTGACGCTACTTCCCTGGTTCTTGGAACCAGTTACCTCCCTGACGCTACTTCCCTGGTTCTTGGAACCAGTTACCTCCCTGACGCTACTTCCCTGGTTCTTGGAACCAGTTACCTCCCTGACGCTACTTCCCTGGTTCTTGGAACCAGTTACCTCCCTGACGCTACTTCCCTGGTTCTTGGAACCAGTTACCTCCCTGACGCTACTTCCCTGGTTCTTGGAACCAGTTACCTCCCTGACGCTACTTCCCTGGTTCTTGGAACCAGTTACCTCCCTGACGCTACTTCCCTGGTTCTTGGAACCAGTTACCTCCCTGACGCTACTTCCCTGGTTCTTGGAACCAGTTACCTCCCTGACGCTACTTCCCTGGTTCTTGGAACCAGTTACCTCCCTGACGCTACTTCCCTGGTTCTTGGAACCAGTTACCTCCCTGACGCTACTTCCCTGGTTCTTGGAACCAGTTACCTCCCTGACGCTACTTCCCTGGTTCTTGGAACCAGTTACCTCCCTGACGCTACTTCCCTGGTTCTTGGAACCAGTTACCTCCCTGACGCTACTTCCCTGGTTCTTGGAACCAGTTACCTCCCTGACGCTACTTCCCTGGTTCTTGGAACCAGTTACCTCCCTGACGCTACTTCCCTGGTTCTTGGAACCAGTTACCTCCCTGACGCTACTTCCCTGGTTCTTGGAACCAGTTACCTCCCTGACGCTACTTCCCTGGTTCTTGGAACCAGTTACCTCCCTGACGCTACTTCCCTGGTTCTTGGAACCAGTTACCTCCCTGACGCTACTTCCCTGGTTCTTGGAACCAGTTACCTCCCTGACGCTACTTCCCTGGTTCTTGGAACCAGTTACCTCCCTGACGCTACTTCCCTGGTTCTTGGAACCAGTTACCTCCCTGACGCTACTTCCCTGGTTCTTGGAACCAGTTACCTCCCTGACGCTACTTCCCTGGTTCTTGGAACCAGTTACCTCCCTGACGCTACTTCCCTGGTTCTTGGAACCAGTTACCTCCCTGACGCTACTTCCCTGGTTCTTGGAACCAGTTACCTCCCTGACGCTACTTCCCTGGTTCTTGGAACCAGTTACCTCCCTGACGCTACTTCCCTGGTTCTTGGAACCAGTTACCTCCCTGACGCTACTTCCCTGGTTCTTGGAACCAGTTACCTCCCTGACGCTACTTCCCTGGTTCTTGGAACCAGTTACCTCCCTGACGCTACTTCCCTGGTTCTTGGAACCAGTTACCTCCCTGACGCTACTTCCCTGGTTCTTGGAACCAGTTACCTCCCTGACGCTACTTCCCTGGTTCTTGGAACCAGTTACCTCCCTGACGCTACTTCCCTGGTTCTTGGAACCAGTTACCTCCCTGACGCTACTTCCCTGGTTCTTGGAACCAGTTACCTCCCTGACGCTACTTCCCTGGTTCTTGGAACCAGTTACCTCCCTGACGCTACTTCCCTGGTTCTTGGAACCAGTTACCTCCCTGACGCTACTTCCCTGGTTCTTGGAACCAGTTACCTCCCTGACGCTACTTCCCTGGTTCTTGGAACCAGTTACCTCCCTGACGCTACTTCCCTGGTTCTTGGAACCAGTTACCTCCCTGACGCTACTTCCCTGGTTCTTGGAACCAGTTACCTCCCTGACGCTACTTCCCTGGTTCTTGGAACCAGTTACCTCCCTGACGCTACTTCCCTGGTTCTTGGAACCAGTTACCTCCCTGACGCTACTTCCCTGGTTCTTGGAACCAGTTACCTCCCTGACGCTACTTCCCTGGTTCTTGGAACCAGTTACCTCCCTGACGCTACTTCCCTGGTTCTTGGAACCAGTTACCTCCCTGACGCTACTTCCCTGGTTCTTGGAACCAGTTACCTCCCTGACGCTACTTCCCTGGTTCTTGGAACCAGTTACCTCCCTGACGCTACTTCCCTGGTTCTTGGAACCAGTTACCTCCCTGACGCTACTTCCCTGGTTCTTGGAACCAGTTACCTCCCTGACGCTACTTCCCTGGTTCTTGGAACCAGTTACCTCCCTGACGCTACTTCCCTGGTTCTTGGAACCAGTTACCTCCCTGACGCTACTTCCCTGGTTCTTGGAACCAGTTACCTCCCTGACGCTACTTCCCTGGTTCTTGGAACCAGTTACCTCCCTGACGCTACTTCCCTGGTTCTTGGAACCAGTTACCTCCCTGACGCTACTTCCCTGGTTCTTGGAACCAGTTACCTCCCTGACGCTACTTCCCTGGTTCTTGGAACCAGTTACCTCCCTGACGCTACTTCCCTGGTTCTTGGAACCAGTTACCTCCCTGACGCTACTTCCCTGGTTCTTGGAACCAGTTACCTCCCTGACGCTACTTCCCTGGTTCTTGGAACCAGTTACCTCCCTGACGCTACTTCCCTGGTTCTTGGAACCAGTTACCTCCCTGACGCTACTTCCCTGGTTCTTGGAACCAGTTACCTCCCTGACGCTACTTCCCTGGTTCTTGGAACCAGTTACCTCCCTGACGCTACTTCCCTGGTTCTTGGAACCAGTTACCTCCCTGACGCTACTTCCCTGGTTCTTGGAACCAGTTACCTCCCTGACGCTACTTCCCTGGTTCTTGGAACCAGTTACCTCCCTGACGCTACTTCCCTGGTTCTTGGAACCAGTTACCTCCCTGACGCTACTTCCCTGGTTCTTGGAACCAGTTACCTCCCTGACGCTACTTCCCTGGTTCTTGGAACCAGTTACCTCCCTGACGCTACTTCCCTGGTTCTTGGAACCAGTTACCTCCCTGACGCTACTTCCCTGGTTCTTGGAACCAGTTACCTCCCTGACGCTACTTCCCTGGTTCTTGGAACCAGTTACCTCCCTGACGCTACTTCCCTGGTTCTTGGAACCAGTTACCTCCCTGACGCTACTTCCCTGGTTCTTGGAACCAGTTACCTCCCTGACGCTACTTCCCTGGTTCTTGGAACCAGTTACCTCCCTGACGCTACTTCCCTGGTTCTTGGAACCAGTTACCTCCCTGACGCTACTTCCCTGGTTCTTGGAACCAGTTACCTCCCTGACGCTACTTCCCTGGTTCTTGGAACCAGTTACCTCCCTGACGCTACTTCCCTGGTTCTTGGAACCAGTTACCTCCCTGACGCTACTTCCCTGGTTCTTGGAACCAGTTACCTCCCTGACGCTACTTCCCTGGTTCTTGGAACCAGTTACCTCCCTGACGCTACTTCCCTGGTTCTTGGAACCAGTTACCTCCCTGACGCTACTTCCCTGGTTCTTGGAACCAGTTACCTCCCTGACGCTACTTCCCTGGTTCTTGGAACCAGTTACCTCCCTGACGCTACTTCCCTGGTTCTTGGAACCAGTTACCTCCCTGACGCTACTTCCCTGGTTCTTGGAACCAGTTACCTCCCTGACGCTACTTCCCTGGTTCTTGGAACCAGTTACCTCCCTGACGCTACTTCCCTGGTTCTTGGAACCAGTTACCTCCCTGACGCTACTTCCCTGGTTCTTGGAACCAGTTACCTCCCTGACGCTACTTCCCTGGTTCTTGGAACCAGTTACCTCCCTGACGCTACTTCCCTGGTTCTTGGAACCAGTTACCTCCCTGACGCTACTTCCCTGGTTCTTGGAACCAGTTACCTCCCTGACGCTACTTCCCTGGTTCTTGGAACCAGTTACCTCCCTGACGCTACTTCCCTGGTTCTTGGAACCAGTTACCTCCCTGACGCTACTTCCCTGGTTCTTGGAACCAGTTACCTCCCTGACGCTACTTCCCTGGTTCTTGGAACCAGTTACCTCCCTGACGCTACTTCCCTGGTTCTTGGAACCAGTTACCTCCCTGACGCTACTTCCCTGGTTCTTGGAACCAGTTACCTCCCTGACGCTACTTCCCTGGTTCTTGGAACCAGTTACCTCCCTGACGCTACTTCCCTGGTTCTTGGAACCAGTTACCTCCCTGACGCTACTTCCCTGGTTCTTGGAACCAGTTACCTCCCTGACGCTACTTCCCTGGTTCTTGGAACCAGTTACCTCCCTGACGCTACTTCCCTGGTTCTTGGAACCAGTTACCTCCCTGACGCTACTTCCCTGGTTCTTGGAACCAGTTACCTCCCTGACGCTACTTCCCTGGTTCTTGGAACCAGTTACCTCCCTGACGCTACTTCCCTGGTTCTTGGAACCAGTTACCTCCCTGACGCTACTTCCCTGGTTCTTGGAACCAGTTACCTCCCTGACGCTACTTCCCTGGTTCTTGGAACCAGTTACCTCCCTGACGCTACTTCCCTGGTTCTTGGAACCAGTTACCTCCCTGACGCTACTTCCCTGGTTCTTGGAACCAGTTACCTCCCTGACGCTACTTCCCTGGTTCTTGGAACCAGTTACCTCCCTGACGCTACTTCCCTGGTTCTTGGAACCAGTTACCTCCCTGACGCTACTTCCCTGGTTCTTGGAACCAGTTACCTCCCTGACGCTACTTCCCTGGTTCTTGGAACCAGTTACCTCCCTGACGCTACTTCCCTGGTTCTTGGAACCAGTTACCTCCCTGACGCTACTTCCCTGGTTCTTGGAACCAGTTACCTCCCTGACGCTACTTCCCTGGTTCTTGGAACCAGTTACCTCCCTGACGCTACTTCCCTGGTTCTTGGAACCAGTTACCTCCCTGACGCTACTTCCCTGGTTCTTGGAACCAGTTACCTCCCTGACGCTACTTCCCTGGTTCTTGGAACCAGTTACCTCCCTGACGCTACTTCCCTGGTTCTTGGAACCAGTTACCTCCCTGACGCTACTTCCCTGGTTCTTGGAACCAGTTACCTCCCTGACGCTACTTCCCTGGTTCTTGGAACCAGTTACCTCCCTGACGCTACTTCCCTGGTTCTTGGAACCAGTTACCTCCCTGACGCTACTTCCCTGGTTCTTGGAACCAGTTACCTCCCTGACGCTACTTCCCTGGTTCTTGGAACCAGTTACCTCCCTGACGCTACTTCCCTGGTTCTTGGAACCAGTTACCTCCCTGACGCTACTTCCCTGGTTCTTGGAACCAGTTACCTCCCTGACGCTACTTCCCTGGTTCTTGGAACCAGTTACCTCCCTGACGCTACTTCCCTGGTTCTTGGAACCAGTTACCTCCCTGACGCTACTTCCCTGGTTCTTGGAACCAGTTACCTCCCTGACGCTACTTCCCTGGTTCTTGGAACCAGTTACCTCCCTGACGCTACTTCCCTGGTTCTTGGAACCAGTTACCTCCCTGACGCTACTTCCCTGGTTCTTGGAACCAGTTACCTCCCTGACGCTACTTCCCTGGTTCTTGGAACCAGTTACCTCCCTGACGCTACTTCCCTGGTTCTTGGAACCAGTTACCTCCCTGACGCTACTTCCCTGGTTCTTGGAACCAGTTACCTCCCTGACGCTACTTCCCTGGTTCTTGGAACCAGTTACCTCCCTGACGCTACTTCCCTGGTTCTTGGAACCAGTTACCTCCCTGACGCTACTTCCCTGGTTCTTGGAACCAGTTACCTCCCTGACGCTACTTCCCTGGTTCTTGGAACCAGTTACCTCCCTGACGCTACTTCCCTGGTTCTTGGAACCAGTTACCTCCCTGACGCTACTTCCCTGGTTCTTGGAACCAGTTACCTCCCTGACGCTACTTCCCTGGTTCTTGGAACCAGTTACCTCCCTGACGCTACTTCCCTGGTTCTTGGAACCAGTTACCTCCCTGACGCTACTTCCCTGGTTCTTGGAACCAGTTACCTCCCTGACGCTACTTCCCTGGTTCTTGGAACCAGTTACCTCCCTGACGCTACTTCCCTGGTTCTTGGAACCAGTTACCTCCCTGACGCTACTTCCCTGGTTCTTGGAACCAGTTACCTCCCTGACGCTACTTCCCTGGTTCTTGGAACCAGTTACCTCCCTGACGCTACTTCCCTGGTTCTTGGAACCAGTTACCTCCCTGACGCTACTTCCCTGGTTCTTGGAACCAGTTACCTCCCTGACGCTACTTCCCTGGTTCTTGGAACCAGTTACCTCCCTGACGCTACTTCCCTGGTTCTTGGAACCAGTTACCTCCCTGACGCTACTTCCCTGGTTCTTGGAACCAGTTACCTCCCTGACGCTACTTCCCTGGTTCTTGGAACCAGTTACCTCCCTGACGCTACTTCCCTGGTTCTTGGAACCAGTTACCTCCCTGACGCTACTTCCCTGGTTCTTGGAACCAGTTACCTCCCTGACGCTACTTCCCTGGTTCTTGGAACCAGTTACCTCCCTGACGCTACTTCCCTGGTTCTTGGAACCAGTTACCTCCCTGACGCTACTTCCCTGGTTCTTGGAACCAGTTACCTCCCTGACGCTACTTCCCTGGTTCTTGGAACCAGTTACCTCCCTGACGCTACTTCCCTGGTTCTTGGAACCAGTTACCTCCCTGACGCTACTTCCCTGGTTCTTGGAACCAGTTACCTCCCTGACGCTACTTCCCTGGTTCTTGGAACCAGTTACCTCCCTGACGCTACTTCCCTGGTTCTTGGAACCAGTTACCTCCCTGACGCTACTTCCCTGGTTCTTGGAACCAGTTACCTCCCTGACGCTACTTCCCTGGTTCTTGGAACCAGTTACCTCCCTGACGCTACTTCCCTGGTTCTTGGAACCAGTTACCTCCCTGACGCTACTTCCCTGGTTCTTGGAACCAGTTACCTCCCTGACGCTACTTCCCTGGTTCTTGGAACCAGTTACCTCCCTGACGCTACTTCCCTGGTTCTTGGAACCAGTTACCTCCCTGACGCTACTTCCCTGGTTCTTGGAACCAGTTACCTCCCTGACGCTACTTCCCTGGTTCTTGGAACCAGTTACCTCCCTGACGCTACTTCCCTGGTTCTTGGAACCAGTTACCTCCCTGACGCTACTTCCCTGGTTCTTGGAACCAGTTACCTCCCTGACGCTACTTCCCTGGTTCTTGGAACCAGTTACCTCCCTGACGCTACTTCCCTGGTTCTTGGAACCAGTTACCTCCCTGACGCTACTTCCCTGGTTCTTGGAACCAGTTACCTCCCTGACGCTACTTCCCTGGTTCTTGGAACCAGTTACCTCCCTGACGCTACTTCCCTGGTTCTTGGAACCAGTTACCTCCCTGACGCTACTTCCCTGGTTCTTGGAACCAGTTACCTCCCTGACGCTACTTCCCTGGTTCTTGGAACCAGTTACCTCCCTGACGCTACTTCCCTGGTTCTTGGAACCAGTTACCTCCCTGACGCTACTTCCCTGGTTCTTGGAACCAGTTACCTCCCTGACGCTACTTCCCTGGTTCTTGGAACCAGTTACCTCCCTGACGCTACTTCCCTGGTTCTTGGAACCAGTTACCTCCCTGACGCTACTTCCCTGGTTCTTGGAACCAGTTACCTCCCTGACGCTACTTCCCTGGTTCTTGGAACCAGTTACCTCCCTGACGCTACTTCCCTGGTTCTTGGAACCAGTTACCTCCCTGACGCTACTTCCCTGGTTCTTGGAACCAGTTACCTCCCTGACGCTACTTCCCTGGTTCTTGGAACCAGTTACCTCCCTGACGCTACTTCCCTGGTTCTTGGAACCAGTTACCTCCCTGACGCTACTTCCCTGGTTCTTGGAACCAGTTACCTCCCTGACGCTACTTCCCTGGTTCTTGGAACCAGTTACCTCCCTGACGCTACTTCCCTGGTTCTTGGAACCAGTTACCTCCCTGACGCTACTTCCCTGGTTCTTGGAACCAGTTACCTCCCTGACGCTACTTCCCTGGTTCTTGGAACCAGTTACCTCCCTGACGCTACTTCCCTGGTTCTTGGAACCAGTTACCTCCCTGACGCTACTTCCCTGGTTCTTGGAACCAGTTACCTCCCTGACGCTACTTCCCTGGTTCTTGGAACCAGTTACCTCCCTGACGCTACTTCCCTGGTTCTTGGAACCAGTTACCTCCCTGACGCTACTTCCCTGGTTCTTGGAACCAGTTACCTCCCTGACGCTACTTCCCTGGTTCTTGGAACCAGTTACCTCCCTGACGCTACTTCCCTGGTTCTTGGAACCAGTTACCTCCCTGACGCTACTTCCCTGGTTCTTGGAACCAGTTACCTCCCTGACGCTACTTCCCTGGTTCTTGGAACCAGTTACCTCCCTGACGCTACTTCCCTGGTTCTTGGAACCAGTTACCTCCCTGACGCTACTTCCCTGGTTCTTGGAACCAGTTACCTCCCTGACGCTACTTCCCTGGTTCTTGGAACCAGTTACCTCCCTGACGCTACTTCCCTGGTTCTTGGAACCAGTTACCTCCCTGACGCTACTTCCCTGGTTCTTGGAACCAGTTACCTCCCTGACGCTACTTCCCTGGTTCTTGGAACCAGTTACCTCCCTGACGCTACTTCCCTGGTTCTTGGAACCAGTTACCTCCCTGACGCTACTTCCCTGGTTCTTGGAACCAGTTACCTCCCTGACGCTACTTCCCTGGTTCTTGGAACCAGTTACCTCCCTGACGCTACTTCCCTGGTTCTTGGAACCAGTTACCTCCCTGACGCTACTTCCCTGGTTCTTGGAACCAGTTACCTCCCTGACGCTACTTCCCTGGTTCTTGGAACCAGTTACCTCCCTGACGCTACTTCCCTGGTTCTTGGAACCAGTTACCTCCCTGACGCTACTTCCCTGGTTCTTGGAACCAGTTACCTCCCTGACGCTACTTCCCTGGTTCTTGGAACCAGTTACCTCCCTGACGCTACTTCCCTGGTTCTTGGAACCAGTTACCTCCCTGACGCTACTTCCCTGGTTCTTGGAACCAGTTACCTCCCTGACGCTACTTCCCTGGTTCTTGGAACCAGTTACCTCCCTGACGCTACTTCCCTGGTTCTTGGAACCAGTTACCTCCCTGACGCTACTTCCCTGGTTCTTGGAACCAGTTACCTCCCTGACGCTACTTCCCTGGTTCTTGGAACCAGTTACCTCCCTGACGCTACTTCCCTGGTTCTTGGAACCAGTTACCTCCCTGACGCTACTTCCCTGGTTCTTGGAACCAGTTACCTCCCTGACGCTACTTCCCTGGTTCTTGGAACCAGTTACCTCCCTGACGCTACTTCCCTGGTTCTTGGAACCAGTTACCTCCCTGACGCTACTTCCCTGGTTCTTGGAACCAGTTACCTCCCTGACGCTACTTCCCTGGTTCTTGGAACCAGTTACCTCCCTGACGCTACTTCCCTGGTTCTTGGAACCAGTTACCTCCCTGACGCTACTTCCCTGGTTCTTGGAACCAGTTACCTCCCTGACGCTACTTCCCTGGTTCTTGGAACCAGTTACCTCCCTGACGCTACTTCCCTGGTTCTTGGAACCAGTTACCTCCCTGACGCTACTTCCCTGGTTCTTGGAACCAGTTACCTCCCTGACGCTACTTCCCTGGTTCTTGGAACCAGTTACCTCCCTGACGCTACTTCCCTGGTTCTTGGAACCAGTTACCTCCCTGACGCTACTTCCCTGGTTCTTGGAACCAGTTACCTCCCTGACGCTACTTCCCTGGTTCTTGGAACCAGTTACCTCCCTGACGCTACTTCCCTGGTTCTTGGAACCAGTTACCTCCCTGACGCTACTTCCCTGGTTCTTGGAACCAGTTACCTCCCTGACGCTACTTCCCTGGTTCTTGGAACCAGTTACCTCCCTGACGCTACTTCCCTGGTTCTTGGAACCAGTTACCTCCCTGACGCTACTTCCCTGGTTCTTGGAACCAGTTACCTCCCTGACGCTACTTCCCTGGTTCTTGGAACCAGTTACCTCCCTGACGCTACTTCCCTGGTTCTTGGAACCAGTTACCTCCCTGACGCTACTTCCCTGGTTCTTGGAACCAGTTACCTCCCTGACGCTACTTCCCTGGTTCTTGGAACCAGTTACCTCCCTGACGCTACTTCCCTGGTTCTTGGAACCAGTTACCTCCCTGACGCTACTTCCCTGGTTCTTGGAACCAGTTACCTCCCTGACGCTACTTCCCTGGTTCTTGGAACCAGTTACCTCCCTGACGCTACTTCCCTGGTTCTTGGAACCAGTTACCTCCCTGACGCTACTTCCCTGGTTCTTGGAACCAGTTACCTCCCTGACGCTACTTCCCTGGTTCTTGGAACCAGTTACCTCCCTGACGCTACTTCCCTGGTTCTTGGAACCAGTTACCTCCCTGACGCTACTTCCCTGGTTCTTGGAACCAGTTACCTCCCTGACGCTACTTCCCTGGTTCTTGGAACCAGTTACCTCCCTGACGCTACTTCCCTGGTTCTTGGAACCAGTTACCTCCCTGACGCTACTTCCCTGGTTCTTGGAACCAGTTACCTCCCTGACGCTACTTCCCTGGTTCTTGGAACCAGTTACCTCCCTGACGCTACTTCCCTGGTTCTTGGAACCAGTTACCTCCCTGACGCTACTTCCCTGGTTCTTGGAACCAGTTACCTCCCTGACGCTACTTCCCTGGTTCTTGGAACCAGTTACCTCCCTGACGCTACTTCCCTGGTTCTTGGAACCAGTTACCTCCCTGACGCTACTTCCCTGGTTCTTGGAACCAGTTACCTCCCTGACGCTACTTCCCTGGTTCTTGGAACCAGTTACCTCCCTGACGCTACTTCCCTGGTTCTTGGAACCAGTTACCTCCCTGACGCTACTTCCCTGGTTCTTGGAACCAGTTACCTCCCTGACGCTACTTCCCTGGTTCTTGGAACCAGTTACCTCCCTGACGCTACTTCCCTGGTTCTTGGAACCAGTTACCTCCCTGACGCTACTTCCCTGGTTCTTGGAACCAGTTACCTCCCTGACGCTACTTCCCTGGTTCTTGGAACCAGTTACCTCCCTGACGCTACTTCCCTGGTTCTTGGAACCAGTTACCTCCCTGACGCTACTTCCCTGGTTCTTGGAACCAGTTACCTCCCTGACGCTACTTCCCTGGTTCTTGGAACCAGTTACCTCCCTGACGCTACTTCCCTGGTTCTTGGAACCAGTTACCTCCCTGACGCTACTTCCCTGGTTCTTGGAACCAGTTACCTCCCTGACGCTACTTCCCTGGTTCTTGGAACCAGTTACCTCCCTGACGCTACTTCCCTGGTTCTTGGAACCAGTTACCTCCCTGACGCTACTTCCCTGGTTCTTGGAACCAGTTACCTCCCTGACGCTACTTCCCTGGTTCTTGGAACCAGTTACCTCCCTGACGCTACTTCCCTGGTTCTTGGAACCAGTTACCTCCCTGACGCTACTTCCCTGGTTCTTGGAACCAGTTACCTCCCTGACGCTACTTCCCTGGTTCTTGGAACCAGTTACCTCCCTGACGCTACTTCCCTGGTTCTTGGAACCAGTTACCTCCCTGACGCTACTTCCCTGGTTCTTGGAACCAGTTACCTCCCTGACGCTACTTCCCTGGTTCTTGGAACCAGTTACCTCCCTGACGCTACTTCCCTGGTTCTTGGAACCAGTTACCTCCCTGACGCTACTTCCCTGGTTCTTGGAACCAGTTACCTCCCTGACGCTACTTCCCTGGTTCTTGGAACCAGTTACCTCCCTGACGCTACTTCCCTGGTTCTTGGAACCAGTTACCTCCCTGACGCTACTTCCCTGGTTCTTGGAACCAGTTACCTCCCTGACGCTACTTCCCTGGTTCTTGGAACCAGTTACCTCCCTGACGCTACTTCCCTGGTTCTTGGAACCAGTTACCTCCCTGACGCTACTTCCCTGGTTCTTGGAACCAGTTACCTCCCTGACGCTACTTCCCTGGTTCTTGGAACCAGTTACCTCCCTGACGCTACTTCCCTGGTTCTTGGAACCAGTTACCTCCCTGACGCTACTTCCCTGGTTCTTGGAACCAGTTACCTCCCTGACGCTACTTCCCTGGTTCTTGGAACCAGTTACCTCCCTGACGCTACTTCCCTGGTTCTTGGAACCAGTTACCTCCCTGACGCTACTTCCCTGGTTCTTGGAACCAGTTACCTCCCTGACGCTACTTCCCTGGTTCTTGGAACCAGTTACCTCCCTGACGCTACTTCCCTGGTTCTTGGAACCAGTTACCTCCCTGACGCTACTTCCCTGGTTCTTGGAACCAGTTACCTCCCTGACGCTACTTCCCTGGTTCTTGGAACCAGTTACCTCCCTGACGCTACTTCCCTGGTTCTTGGAACCAGTTACCTCCCTGACGCTACTTCCCTGGTTCTTGGAACCAGTTACCTCCCTGACGCTACTTCCCTGGTTCTTGGAACCAGTTACCTCCCTGACGCTACTTCCCTGGTTCTTGGAACCAGTTACCTCCCTGACGCTACTTCCCTGGTTCTTGGAACCAGTTACCTCCCTGACGCTACTTCCCTGGTTCTTGGAACCAGTTACCTCCCTGACGCTACTTCCCTGGTTCTTGGAACCAGTTACCTCCCTGACGCTACTTCCCTGGTTCTTGGAACCAGTTACCTCCCTGACGCTACTTCCCTGGTTCTTGGAACCAGTTACCTCCCTGACGCTACTTCCCTGGTTCTTGGAACCAGTTACCTCCCTGACGCTACTTCCCTGGTTCTTGGAACCAGTTACCTCCCTGACGCTACTTCCCTGGTTCTTGGAACCAGTTACCTCCCTGACGCTACTTCCCTGGTTCTTGGAACCAGTTACCTCCCTGACGCTACTTCCCTGGTTCTTGGAACCAGTTACCTCCCTGACGCTACTTCCCTGGTTCTTGGAACCAGTTACCTCCCTGACGCTACTTCCCTGGTTCTTGGAACCAGTTACCTCCCTGACGCTACTTCCCTGGTTCTTGGAACCAGTTACCTCCCTGACGCTACTTCCCTGGTTCTTGGAACCAGTTACCTCCCTGACGCTACTTCCCTGGTTCTTGGAACCAGTTACCTCCCTGACGCTACTTCCCTGGTTCTTGGAACCAGTTACCTCCCTGACGCTACTTCCCTGGTTCTTGGAACCAGTTACCTCCCTGACGCTACTTCCCTGGTTCTTGGAACCAGTTACCTCCCTGACGCTACTTCCCTGGTTCTTGGAACCAGTTACCTCCCTGACGCTACTTCCCTGGTTCTTGGAACCAGTTACCTCCCTGACGCTACTTCCCTGGTTCTTGGAACCAGTTACCTCCCTGACGCTACTTCCCTGGTTCTTGGAACCAGTTACCTCCCTGACGCTACTTCCCTGGTTCTTGGAACCAGTTACCTCCCTGACGCTACTTCCCTGGTTCTTGGAACCAGTTACCTCCCTGACGCTACTTCCCTGGTTCTTGGAACCAGTTACCTCCCTGACGCTACTTCCCTGGTTCTTGGAACCAGTTACCTCCCTGACGCTACTTCCCTGGTTCTTGGAACCAGTTACCTCCCTGACGCTACTTCCCTGGTTCTTGGAACCAGTTACCTCCCTGACGCTACTTCCCTGGTTCTTGGAACCAGTTACCTCCCTGACGCTACTTCCCTGGTTCTTGGAACCAGTTACCTCCCTGACGCTACTTCCCTGGTTCTTGGAACCAGTTACCTCCCTGACGCTACTTCCCTGGTTCTTGGAACCAGTTACCTCCCTGACGCTACTTCCCTGGTTCTTGGAACCAGTTACCTCCCTGACGCTACTTCCCTGGTTCTTGGAACCAGTTACCTCCCTGACGCTACTTCCCTGGTTCTTGGAACCAGTTACCTCCCTGACGCTACTTCCCTGGTTCTTGGAACCAGTTACCTCCCTGACGCTACTTCCCTGGTTCTTGGAACCAGTTACCTCCCTGACGCTACTTCCCTGGTTCTTGGAACCAGTTACCTCCCTGACGCTACTTCCCTGGTTCTTGGAACCAGTTACCTCCCTGACGCTACTTCCCTGGTTCTTGGAACCAGTTACCTCCCTGACGCTACTTCCCTGGTTCTTGGAACCAGTTACCTCCCTGACGCTACTTCCCTGGTTCTTGGAACCAGTTACCTCCCTGACGCTACTTCCCTGGTTCTTGGAACCAGTTACCTCCCTGACGCTACTTCCCTGGTTCTTGGAACCAGTTACCTCCCTGACGCTACTTCCCTGGTTCTTGGAACCAGTTACCTCCCTGACGCTACTTCCCTGGTTCTTGGAACCAGTTACCTCCCTGACGCTACTTCCCTGGTTCTTGGAACCAGTTACCTCCCTGACGCTACTTCCCTGGTTCTTGGAACCAGTTACCTCCCTGACGCTACTTCCCTGGTTCTTGGAACCAGTTACCTCCCTGACGCTACTTCCCTGGTTCTTGGAACCAGTTACCTCCCTGACGCTACTTCCCTGGTTCTTGGAACCAGTTACCTCCCTGACGCTACTTCCCTGGTTCTTGGAACCAGTTACCTCCCTGACGCTACTTCCCTGGTTCTTGGAACCAGTTACCTCCCTGACGCTACTTCCCTGGTTCTTGGAACCAGTTACCTCCCTGACGCTACTTCCCTGGTTCTTGGAACCAGTTACCTCCCTGACGCTACTTCCCTGGTTCTTGGAACCAGTTACCTCCCTGACGCTACTTCCCTGGTTCTTGGAACCAGTTACCTCCCTGACGCTACTTCCCTGGTTCTTGGAACCAGTTACCTCCCTGACGCTACTTCCCTGGTTCTTGGAACCAGTTACCTCCCTGACGCTACTTCCCTGGTTCTTGGAACCAGTTACCTCCCTGACGCTACTTCCCTGGTTCTTGGAACCAGTTACCTCCCTGACGCTACTTCCCTGGTTCTTGGAACCAGTTACCTCCCTGACGCTACTTCCCTGGTTCTTGGAACCAGTTACCTCCCTGACGCTACTTCCCTGGTTCTTGGAACCAGTTACCTCCCTGACGCTACTTCCCTGGTTCTTGGAACCAGTTACCTCCCTGACGCTACTTCCCTGGTTCTTGGAACCAGTTACCTCCCTGACGCTACTTCCCTGGTTCTTGGAACCAGTTACCTCCCTGACGCTACTTCCCTGGTTCTTGGAACCAGTTACCTCCCTGACGCTACTTCCCTGGTTCTTGGAACCAGTTACCTCCCTGACGCTACTTCCCTGGTTCTTGGAACCAGTTACCTCCCTGACGCTACTTCCCTGGTTCTTGGAACCAGTTACCTCCCTGACGCTACTTCCCTGGTTCTTGGAACCAGTTACCTCCCTGACGCTACTTCCCTGGTTCTTGGAACCAGTTACCTCCCTGACGCTACTTCCCTGGTTCTTGGAACCAGTTACCTCCCTGACGCTACTTCCCTGGTTCTTGGAACCAGTTACCTCCCTGACGCTACTTCCCTGGTTCTTGGAACCAGTTACCTCCCTGACGCTACTTCCCTGGTTCTTGGAACCAGTTACCTCCCTGACGCTACTTCCCTGGTTCTTGGAACCAGTTACCTCCCTGACGCTACTTCCCTGGTTCTTGGAACCAGTTACCTCCCTGACGCTACTTCCCTGGTTCTTGGAACCAGTTACCTCCCTGACTCCAACTCTGAATCCTTTCTTGCTCTTTCTACCTTCGCTGCTTCCCCTCCCAGGTATCAGCCGATGCAGCAGCTGCAGGCCTGCAGGCAGACACCACCACGACTGTGCTGCCGCACTGCTGGCGGGCGGGGAAAGGGGCGGGGAAAGGGGCACCAGATATCAGGTGCGTTTGATGGGAGGATCAGTGTAGGCTTTTCAATCGACTTCATGCAACCCCATGCAATCCCATGCTACACCATGCTACACCACGCAACCCAATGCATTCAAAAATTATCCTTCCCCATGCCTTCGTCTCAGGTCCGTTGCTGATTTGGCATCCTATTTCTCTGCCCTCACCTTCTCGTTCAAGTCACACGCAATCTTCTCCTCCTCAGCTGATCTCTTCGTTGCTCCCGCCACTTACCTCCTCTCGCCGGTGAGAAATGGGAAGGTGGGAAGGGAGTGGGGGGAAGGGAGGGGAAGGGTGGTGGTGAATCCAGGACTCTCTTCTGCTGTTGCAGCGGAAGAGGATGGCACGGACTCTCTTCTGCTGTTTCTCCCGCCACTGTGTGGGGAGGAGGAGAGGGGATGGCACGGTGTGTCTTGGCATTTGGAATGGTAAGGAGTCAGCTGCTTCCCCTCCTGCCCGCCCCTTCACACCCTTACTCACCCTTATTGTGCCAGAGGCATGGCACGGTGTGTCTTGGCATTCGGAATGGGAAGGAGTCAGCTGCTTCCCCTCCTGCCCGCCCCATCACACCCTTACTCACCCTTATTGTGCCACAGAGGCATGGCACGGTGTGTCTTGGCATTCGGAATGGGAAGGAGTCAGCTGCTTCCCCTCCTGCCCGCCCCATCACACCCTTACTCACCCTTATTGTGCCACAGAGGCATGGCACGGTGTGTCTTGGCATTCTGAATGGGGACGAGTCAATTGCATTTGGAGGCGCTTCCCGAACCATCATTGGAGGTACGGTAATGCAAGGTTAAGCCGGACCAGCATCCGAGGTACGGTTACTCATATGGTTCACCGGGCCATTACCGGAGGCGCGGCATTTTCCGCTGTAGTTCACTCCACACTGTGGAAGAAATGCTTTAAGAATTCAGTGTCTTGCCAGGCTATTTTTTAAGGCAAGAAGTCGTGCTTGCGCGTTAAGCGCCTCTTTTTTTTTCTCGTTTTTTTTTTTGGGGGGGGGGGGGGGGGGGGGGGGGGGGGCTCGCTTAAACAAGCACCTCTATGCAATGCACGCATTCTCTTTAAGGTGCCCCTCTCTGGGATTGTCCAAGTGGTTTCATCTTCCTTCTCTTATGCGAATATGTTTTTGCAACCGCTTATCTGCCCTGACAGCCTCGCCTGCTAGTTGAATGAAATGACATACATCCCCCCTTCCTTTGGTCCCCTGTGTTACAGATATTGCGATGCGCGGTTACCTTATAGTGTATGATAACGAGAATACAAGGATTGGTTGGACCCTGGCAAATTGTTCCTCCAAACCATGAATGTTACAGGGTAAGTGATCCATGCCACTTGTATATAAAAAGTATCATAAACCTGTGCCCATGGCACACTAGTCCTCAACAAAATGAAAACATCTTTTGATGTTTCAGTGTCTACAAATGGGTTACTCCTAGAGAGGAACGTTATGTTTCAGTTTGACTAGATGGCGATATCCAACCAGCTTATCAGAACGATGAAAGTACTACCGTACATTAAACACCATACAGGAGGCCTACTACTGTGCCAACTTACCCTAAACTACAGCAGACAATCACTCATAGGATAAAGCAAGCATGGCAGTCTGATAGCTACAAATGCAAATAAAGCAGTACTGATCTGAACCTGAACTGTTTAGCTTGTAATGGAAATAGAAAATCAAGCGGGAGAGCATCAAACCCAGATAGATTCTGGACAAGAGCAACTCAGAGATTACGGTACCGGTACCAGGCGGCTGCTGCTGTTGTTGCTGCTGCTGCTGCTGGCAATGCCTCACGTCTAGATTCACTTTTCAGGTGTTAGCAGCTGCTTGTAGCAAAGCATAAGCGCCTCATAGAACCAAGAAGCAAGCTCCCTTCGCCACACTGTATCACCCTTTTCGCCAGGCCACGTCACCCAATATCTGCTGCCATTCTGAAGCTGCAAGCTGGAGCCACCACTGTCACAGAAGTTGAAACCCAGCAACTCAGAAAATGAAACTTGGTGTCACAGCAGTTGCCCCGTGTCTCAGAAGTTGCAACTCATCTCAAAACGAACCACACCATATCAGGACCAGAGTCACCTTGTAAGCAGCAAGTCAAATCATGAGACGCCTCAAAACTCGGAAGCCAAAACCCATCAGGAAAGGTCGGTAACACAGTGTCTGATGCAGAGGGTTTGGAATGGAATGGAACGTATCGGCGAGCCCAGAGGAGTCAAAGGATGCTCAGAGTCACCTTGTAAGCAGCAGACTCTTGAGACGTCTCAAAAGGATGCTCAGAGTCACCTTGTAAGCAGCAGATCAGGTCGAGGAATGGCTTGCTCTCTATGTTAGGAGGTAGGTGTTAGGAAGGTTCGGTTTGGAGCCATTCTGAGCCGTTCTGGAAGAATTTTGGAAGACCCATGCTGAGCCACTGGGTAGGTGACTGTGGAGTCGACTCAGAAGTAAAAGTCACCTTGGTAAGAGCAGTGACACAGTATGAAAACCTATTCTGAATGAGTGGTGAAGACTCAGAGCGTCGGGTAGGGGTAGGTGTTAGCTTGACCGCAGCTGTGGTTGGTTGGTGGGGCAGCTCTTGCGCTGTCCACGTGTCAGGCTGCGGTTGGTTGGCTGGTTGGTGGTATCAATGACCTGGACAGCTGCTGCTGCTGCTGCTGCTGCTGCTGGTGTTTGCCAGGTGAAGCTGAGGCGATTCATGGGCGTTAGATGTTAGCAGAGCAAGCATCATGCCTCCTCGCTGACTGACTGACTAAAGGTGCTCTATCCCCCTCCTCTCCCATCCCCCCCCTTCCCCTCCCCTCCCTTCCCCTCCCCTCCCCTCCTCTTTCCTCACATGCAGCAGCAGGCTACGGCACAGATGGGCTGTGGGGGAATTGGGGGGGGGGGGAGTGGGGTGGTGCCAGACGTGGGAGAGGAGGGCGGTAGGATAAGCCTAGTTATGCCCGCAGCAGCAGCGGGTTATGGCATGGACGGGCACAATAAGTCAGACGCACACATACTCAGCTCCACCGCATCAAACCGCACAAGAACTCACATGAACATTCTCAACAGGCCTGGTTGCAACTCCAAGACATGAAGGCCCTCCTGGTCGACCAAGTACTGCTCCACCACTGCTGGCATGTGCTGCTCCCCCATACAGACACAAGCATTCCCACGCACACCCCACCCCACAGCACTACACCGCACTGCATCAGCCTGTAACTCACATGAACACCCTCAAAAGGCCTGGCTGTGGCTCCAACACGTGAAGCCCTTCCTGATACACTAAATACTGCTTCACCACTGCTGGCATGTGCTGCTCCCCCACACACATACACATGTATCCCAACTTGTATTCCCACCCACACCTCGCTCCACCGCACAGCACCGCACTGCACCGCACAGAACTCACATGAACACTCGCAGTAACCCTGGCTGCGGCTCCAACACGTGAAGCCCTTCCTGATCCACCAAATACTGCTCCACCACTGCTGGCATGTGCTGCAGTGCACGGTCACTGGTGTAGAGACCGGACCCCACACGCACGTAGAGCTGGCAGGGACAGGGAAGGTGAGATGGGAGGGAAAGGGCAGGGATGGAAAGGACAAAAGAGGCCTTTTCTACTGTTCTGCTCCACCACTGTTTGCATGGCATGGGCTGCAACGCACGGTCACTGGTGTAGAGACCGGACCCCACACGCACGTAGAGCTGGCAGGGACAAGGGAGGGAGCAGAAAGCAGGGAGGATATGATGATTGGGGATGGTACGAGGGGGCAACACGGAAGTTGCATCCCACTGCTCTGCTCCACCCCTGCTGGCATGTGCTGCAGTGCGCGGTCGCTGGTGTAGAGGCCTGAACCCACACGCACGCAGAGCTGGCAGGGACAGGGGAGGGAGCAAAAAGCAGGGAAGATATGGCGATTGGGGATGGTACGAGAGGGCACCATGGAAGCTGCATCCCACTGCTCTGCTCCACCACTGCTGGCATGTGCTGCAGTGCGCGGTCACTGGTGTAGAGGCCTGAACCCACACGCACGTAGAGCTGGCAGGGACAGGGGAGGGAGCAGAAAGCAGGGAAGATATGGCGATTGGGGATGGTACGAGAGGGCAACATGGAAGCTGCATCCCACTGCTCTGCTCCACCACTGCTGGCATGTGCTGCAGTGCGCGGTCACTGGTGTAGCAACCCGATCCCACAGGTACGTAGAGCTGGCAGGCAGGGACAGGGAAGGTGCGATGGAGGGACAAGCGAAGGGGAGACGGAGAGACAAGGGATTTCCACTCTAGTGATCTGCTCTCCACTGCTTCGTGGTTTCAGCACCCCCCCTCTAGCAGGCTGCATGTATCGGTTCATACGTGCTGCCTTGACTTGGTGCGCTGAGCAGCGAACCGCAAAGCCGCCACCTCCTGCTGCAGCAGGCACACGGCGTTGGACACGTGCATGCCCGTCAGCTCCCTCCAACACCTTGCTCTAGAGGGATGCAGCACCTGCCCTCAAGCACACAGGCGGGCATACCTGCTGGCGGGACTTGGTGCGCTGAGCAGCAAACCGCAAAGCCGCCACCTCCTGCTGCAGCAGGCACAGGGCATTGGACACGTGCATGCCCCTCAGCTCCAACACCCGTGCCGGGTCGTTCTGCATGCCGGGCGGAGGGGGAGGAGCGGACGGAGGAGCGGACGGAGGAGCGGACGGAGGAGCGGACGGAGGAGCGGGCGAAGCAGGGGCGGGAGGAGGAGGAGCAGCAGCAGGAGGGGCAGGCGGAGGGGCGGGAGAGGCAGGAGGACGGGCTACTTGGGGAAACGACGCATCTGGGGCATCAAATGTGAGCATGCGAGCAGCACTGCTGCCGTTGCTGCTGCTGCTGATTCCGCTGCTGGTGCTGCTGCTGCCTCCGCCGTTGTTACTTGCACTGCCCATGCTCACACTGCTGCTGCTGCTGCTGCTGCTGAAGCCGTTGCTGATGTTGCTGCCGCTGCGGCTGCTGTTAAATTCACTCAAGCTGATCGTGCCGAAGCTGCTGCTGCCGAAGCTGCCAAGTTCGGCAGTCCCGGACGATAGCGATCCGGACGGCAGTTCCCTGCTTTGAACAGAGAAAGCAAGTGAGAAACCCAGGAAGAAACAAAACAGGCCGCGCACAAAAGAAGCGAGACGTTAAACAAAACATAAGGCATCGAAAGGCGTGAAGTGTGTACTTGCAACAAAGGACAGGAGAGGAGCTGGAAGGAGAAGAAAAAAACGGGGAGGGAAGGTGGGGGCCCATAAGGTGCCAAAAATAGGGAATTCCACCTGATGCCGTATAAAATCCAGGATTCAGCTTGTAGGGCCTTTTTTTGAGAAGTCTCAAAACACAGACTCCAACGCACCTGATGCCATATGCGAGCGCGTCAACGTCAAGGCTTCTCCTGGAGTTGAAGCTTGACGGTGGATCGGGGTTGGTGTTGGCGTCAGGGGCCCACTTGTGGAGCAGGGAAATACAAGCATGAGCGAGAGGCGGGAGAAGAAATGGGAAAAGGATACGGAATACACCAGGCAGAGTCAACAACGAGGTGGGAGAAAGGAAAATGGGCAAGGGAAGAAAAGGGAAAGGGAAAGGGAAAGAGAAGGACAGGGAATGGGAAAGGGAAAGGGATGGGAAAGGGAATGACAAAGGGAAAGGTAAAGGGAATGGGAAAGGGAAAGAGAAAGGGAGAGGGAAACGGAAAGGCAAAGGAAATGGGAAAGGGAAAGCGAAAGGGAGAGGGTAAGGGAAAGGGAATGGGGAACAGATACGGAATGGACCAGGCAGGGGGCCTTCACTGGCGAGTCACTGGCACCCATACGCCCATGCCATACGCCCATGCCATACGCCCATGCACCCATGCACCCATGCACCCATGCGCCCATGCCATGCGCGCATGCACCCATGCGCCCATGCGCCCCCGCGCGCATGCCATGCGCCAATGCGCCCATGCGCCCATGCGCCCATGCACCAATGCCATACGCCCATTACCCATGCACCCATGCGCCCATGCGCCCATGCACCCATACCAATCATGTAATCTACCTTGTTGCAGGGCTGGGAGGCTGTGCGGACAGGGAGAGTATGGGCGAGGGGATGTGGACCCTCCTCCGAACCCACCAAGTCAACACCTGCCATGCACTCAAGCACCCGTAGCATGTCATGCACCCACAGCGTACCATACGCCCATAATGCCATGCCATACGCCCATAGCATGCCATGCCATACGGCCATAGCATGCCATGCACTCATAGCATGCCATGCAACCATACAATGCCATACGCCCATAGCATGCCATGCGCCCATAGCATACCATACGCCCGTAGCATGCCATGCCACACGCCCATAGCATGCATTCAGAGAAACGCCACAATGAGGAATGTTATGGTGGGCACTCGAGCAGAAAAACATCGTTGCAAGCCCTTGCTAGTCGGCATGTTTGAGCGAGAAATGCAAATTCAGCATGGTGGAGCAAGGAATGCATATTCACCGTGATACAAATGATGGTTGCAACGCGGCTTGATGCAAACTCATTCGCCAACTCACCCGCCCTTTCAAATTGAAACATCTCCTCCCCACGAAGCAAATGCTGCTGCTTCTGCTGCTGCTGCTGCTTCTCATCGAATTCCCCTCGCCTCCCCTCGAACCCCCCTGGCTTGCACGGACTCATATCCCACACTGAACCCACAACAGCACCACCAGCACCATACAAGCCCGCATATGCATCGCTGCTTCCTTGAAACCCCTGCTTCTCCCCCCCCTGCTCCCCCTGCTGCTGCCGAACCCACCACTGCATCTCATCCAGCCCCGGAGCTCCAGGCCCGGCCGAACCAAACGGTTTCAGGTTCGGCATGGAGCGGGAGAGGAGGCTCGGGTCCAGACCACCGTCCGGACCTCCATCCGAAGCAGCAGAATCACCAACCCCACCAGGACCCCCAGGGGAGTTCAAAATGTGGGCGCTAAATCGGTGAGGGTGGGAGGAGGAGGCGGAATGAGTAGCAGTAACCGCTCGACCAGCGGAGGCGGCGGCGGCAGCAGCAGCAGCAGAGGAGTAGTGATGGGGAGGCGGAGGCGAGGCGAAGTTGGAAAGGGAGCCCAGAGGTGGGGAGCGTTGGGACGAGCGGGGAGGGCCAGAGTGTAGTGAGGGGTCCCCATCCTCTTGGTATTGCTGTGTGGTTGAGGCCAGACAGGGGTTCAAGGAAACAAGGAGCCAAGGAAGCAGGTAAAACAGGTTAGACAAAAGCGCTGGGAGTGAGAGACGGGTCCCCATTCTCCTGCCACTTTCTGTGTGGTGGGAATAGGAAGAGCGGCGGAGGAAATAAACAGCAGGCGAGGGCGAAAACAAAAAAAATGCAGTTTTTTTCCATGCCCCAATTTCCCCAACCCTCCAACCCTTCATTCCCCCATTCCCCTTTCCCCCACCCACCCTGTACCCCCTTCCCCTGCGCCCAACCGCCTTTCGCACACCTGCAGCTGCCACAGAGCCTCAATGGTCGCGCCCAGGTCCGCCCCATGCGCGAAAAACGCGTCCGCCAGGCTCTGCATGGAAAAATCCGGGAATTCCGCCGCCAGCACCAGAATCGGATCGTCCAGCGCGTGATGCGGGGGCGGGGGCGGACCCCCCCCGCGCGGATGCCCACCGGGGGAGGGCGCGAGCCCGTGCGGAGGCCCCGGGGGGTGCGCGCGCGCGTGGTGTGGGGGGAGATGATGGGGGGGCGGGGGCGGGGGCATGCCCGGTGGCGGCATCCCCTCGTCTAGGTAGAATCCCCCCAGCTCGTGCGGGGGGAGGCCATGGGGGGGCGGGGGAAGGGGATCATGCAGCGGAAACCCCCCATGCGCGTTGTACTCCGCGCCTGGCCCCCCCGTGCCAGGGGGACCCTCCTCTAGCTCGTCCAGCGGACCAGGGTTCCACCCCGCGGACGGTCCGCGGAACCTTCTATCCAGCATGCGCGCCGGCCCTGGGGGAAGCTCAAACGGCGGCGGAAAGTGTCCGCCGTTGTCTCCCCCTCCCGGGGGCATTCCTCCGCCACCGCCATCCCCGCTTCCTCCCCCTCCGCCTCCGCCTCCTCCGCCTGGTCCCCCACCTCCTCCCCCGCCGCCTCCGCCCCTTCCTCCCGGCCCCGCTCGCCTCCCCTGCTGGTGCAGGTCCCGCAGCGGGTGCATGGGACTCCGCTGATCCAAGCTGTTCCGCCGGTTCTGCTGCGGGTGGCGCAAATGCCCTCCCCCCCTGCCCACGCCCATTGGACTACGGTGGTCTAGACTGCCTATACCTTGATTGAGCGGAGACGGCGGCTCTTCTCCTCCCCGCCCCCTCGGACCTGGTCTGGAGTACCGCGGGTGTGGGGACCTAGACGGGGAGAAGCTGTTAGAGGGACCTGGCGGGCCCATATTCCCCCCTCCGCCTCCGCCCCCCGCGCCCCTGGCGGGGTTTATGTGGGGAGGCGGCGGAGAGCCCAAGCGCGGGCCTACTTCCGGGCTGAACGGCGGACCAGGCCCAAATCTTCCGCCATGCCCGCCAGGTCCGCCCATTCCCCCGGGGCCCAATGGTCCGCCTCCGCGCCCGCCTCTTCCCGCGGGGCCTTGGTAAAGCGCGTTAGGGGGAGGAGGTCCCCCGGGGCCCGGCATGGGGCTACCTGGGGGGCCCATGGGCGGACCATCTCCCCTGCCGTCTATCCGGCCGTCCATCCGGCCGTCCATCCTGCCGTCCATACGACCGTCCATCCTGCCGTCCATCCGGCCGTCCATCCTGCCGTCCATCCTGCCGTCCATCCTACCGTCCATCCGGCCATCCATCCTGCCGTCCATCCGGCCGTCCATTCTCCCAGGTCCATCTAACGGCGGTCCAAATTGCCCGCGCCTGGACGACTCCGTGATTCCGGGCGGGAGTCCCCGTCCCCCTTCCCCTGCTCCGCCTCTTCCGCCCAGCAGCTGCGACGGCGGAAGCATGTGATGCGGGGGAGGCGGCGGGCCGTGGCGGGCGGGGGAGAAATGGAGCGGGCTGCCGCGGAGAGCGGGATTGAAGCGGTGCGCACCAGCAGGGGCGGGGGAAGCCGGAAGAGAGTTGGACGGGCGCGGATGGTTTCCTCCCCCCAAGTGCTCGAAATGCGGGGGGGGATAGTTATCGAAGGGGTATCCTGCGCCAGGGGGAAGCCCCCCGAGTCCAGGCGCAGGACCGTCTAGCAGCTCCGCAAGCTGCTGCGCGGTGGGCGGAAGCGGTCCTCCGCCTGATCCGCCGCCTCCGCCCCCGCCTAGGTCCAGCCGCGCAAGAAGCGCAGCCGCGGCGGGACTGGACGGCGGAGGGTTCCGCGGAAAGGACGCGGGGGAGCCGCCCCCAAACTCATGTTCGGGGAAAGCGGGAGGTCCGCCTAGGGAATGCCGCGCGTGGGACATGGGGCTGGCGGAAGCGCTTCCAGGGCCTTGGCGCAGGTGCGGGGGGAGATGGTGCTGATGCGGGGAGGCGTGGTGCAAGGGATGGTCGGGAGGAAGCTCCGCCAAATAACTCCGCGCGTCCGGATTCCAGCCCCGCCCCTCTCCACTTCCCCGCATACCCACTTTATTATGCATAAAGTCTCCCGCCGCCCCGCGCTCGGCGCCGGGACGAGGTCCGCCCCCAGGCCCGGACCTGCCGCCTCCATGTTCGGGATCTGCCAAGCCTAGCCCGTCTAGGTCCGGCGGGAGAAGGCTGCCGTTGAGGTTCGGCGTGTCCTGCTCGTCGAAGCTAATAAGCTCGTCTGGAAGCTGATCCCTAACGTAACGACGATACTCGTCGTCAGATGAAACTGAGGTGTTAGACGGAATTCTATCTAACGAGGAACCTTCGTAGTTGGCTTCCTCTGCTGACAATCCACGGCTAGCGGAACCCTCCCCGTGCGCATTTGCCTGCGCATACATGTTTCCTTCCGCCGAGTGAGCATCCGCTCCCCTTTCTCCGCCGTCGCCGCCTTCCCCGCTTCCGCTAACCCCCTCAGGACCCTCACTGGCGCCGGTTCCGCCGTTTCCGTCGCTTCCGCCGATTCCGCCTGCGCCGGAAAAGCACGGAACGAACGCCGCAGCGTTGGGGTTGAGGCAGATGCGCGACGGGTCGGGGGGAGTGGGGGAGGGGGAGCGACCGCGGAATGACGCGAGCTGCGCGGAGTTGCCGGGGGTGGCGGAGAAAGAGTCGCGGGAGGAGGTGGTGAGGGGGGAGGAGCCGGAGGAAGAGAGGGACGACGATAGGACTTGCGGAGAGGAGGAGGAGGGGGTTGGCGAGAAAGGAGGTGCGTGTGGCTTGAGGGCAGGGAGCGTTGTGGGGGAGGAGAGAGACGGAGAGTTCGGCGTGCTCTGCTGAAGCTTCGAGAGAAAGCACGGCTTTAAGGAGCCGCCTTGCGACTGGTCATCTGAAAAAGAGACACGGAGCAGGAAATAGGGATAAAGGAAATTACGTTCCTTGGAGGTGTAACCAGCAACATCGAAGCCAAGAAATTGGCTATCCATGCTGGTTCGCTTGCACGGTAATCCAATCAGTAACGGAGGAAAGCATTGTCTTTAGCCGGGCATTGCACGATGCGAGAAAACATTGGATCGTAGAAACAGGTAACGCATCCCCGGAAACAATGCGAGCTTGAAAAGGTCTCAATTCAGGCGCATCAAAAGTTAATCTCACCCCTCCAAGATTTGCGAGGCGCGTAACAGGCTGGATAATAAAACCACGCGGAAAAAAACAAAGGAAACACGCATGCGAGCGTGACGAGGCCATACTGGACACAACAAGACGAGGCCTTTCTAAACTTTCGACATCGATTCTATCCGGAAATTGAGCGAATAATCCGACTGCAACCTCCTGCCCGTAATGCAGAAGGTGGTAACCATCACAAAGCCTGAAAAGCATCAGTGCCATGGCCAGGTATTAACGGAATTACTGGTAGAAAATAAAAAATCTGAAAATACTCACCCTGAGGTGCTGCCTGCGCCGCTCCTGCTCCCGTCGCACCAGGCGCGGAAGCAGCAGCAGCAGCAGAAGGCCGATCATTTACGGCAGTTTCCGCCATTTCGACGGATGTCGCGCTCCCGCGGGCGCGCTAAGGCGGGACGGAGACGACGAAACGGAGCGCCGCGATTGGTGGCGGAGCGACAACGTGTGGCCGCTGCTGCTGCGAAAGGAGATCGAGCTGCTGCAGGTAGAGAAGCCCGCCGTCGTCATTCCACGCAGCGCACCCACCGCGATGAGCCGCGCCGTGGCATACACGGCTAGGATTGGTTCCTCACACACTGGTTGTGGTTCTTTAATGGTTCCTGATGCACGGCGACGGAGAATAAAAAAATTGTAAAACAAGAGGAGGTTTTAAATCTGGACAAGCGGGAAGAATCAGTGGTGGTTCGAGTGGTAATGGTTCCGGTCTTTAAACATGCGAACGATGGATCATTGAGGTGGTAGGGGAAACGGAATGCTGCTTACCTTGCTACTTGCTCCATCCACTACATAGCAGATATGCTGGTTGGTTAGCTTGGTCCACTTTTGCTCCTCCCTGCACCTTACTGCAGATGAACGGAGGGATATGGCGGATGTGGAAGTTATGGATGTCTGGAATCTGGATGAACCCAGGAGTTACCCTGGATGGCAAAAAAAGGGACATGGAACTGTTTGAAGGAACGAATCTTCTGTTCAGATTTAGTTTGGTATAAATGGGTGCACATTGGTTTTATCACATGCAGAGAGGTTGGAAGCTTAATGTTTCAAGGGAAGAAGATGATACCTTGGGCTTTGTTTTCGTCTGCATCCAGATAGCGGGTCCGTGATTGGTCGGCTGGTGCCGCCGCCGAGCCGAACGAAACCTGGAAGTTGGCAATTGGGATGATTGGGTGGTCATGATGGATAACAGTCGTCAACAGACGTGCGACGCAGGCGACGCTGACTACGACGACTAGACGACGCTCCTAGTTGAGGAAGCGACGGAAGTGAGCGCGTACGACGTTATTACGGCGACACGCGCACCCCCCTTCTTGCCACCTCTCCCGAACCGACCTGAGTTCGCCTGACCTTGGTAAGGGCGCCAAGGGTATCAGGCTCGGCGGCGAAATACGTTCGGGCGGACCGCAAGGCGGCCAAAGGTTCCGGCCATGACAGTTCAATACCGAACCATAGCATGAGGTTTGGTTTGGCGCAGGCAGAGGTTCGGCATTACTTACCATGATCTGCCTCGAATCAGCTTGCTTCCTGGCCAGGCAGTTAGCAAGAACTTTGGTTCGGGTAAGCACAGCACCCTCGCAGAAGGTGAGATTCCAGGCTCGGGTGGCGGGAAAAAATTCACGCGTCTGGCAGTCAGGGAGAATCTGACCGAACAAACACCAGCACCCACAAAACCAACCCCGCTAGTGAAGGATTTCCAAAATGACAGGGACAAGCAAATAAATCCGGGACAGAAATTAGCAGGTTACAAAACTATACCGGTCAGATTTATGGATTAATCAGCCACAGCATAAGATCAAACCGAAGCTAGCATATTCTCCAGCTCTCAAACAGCGAGGGTGAGGCTAATTGGCTCTTCCACACTCCCTAGCTCCACCATCAACTCTTACCAAGCCGTTCTCCATCACCATTTAACGGGTATAATTAGTTTCTAAGTGCCATGGGTTTTTGTGATCGTTAAGGTGAGAATTAACAACTGAAGCACCTGTAGCATCGTCAGCAGCAGTCGTAGCAGCACCTCCACCACAAGCTGTAGCAGCACAGCAGTTGTATCAGCAGCACCACCACAAGCTGTAGCAGCACAATAGTTGTGTCAGCAGCAGAACCACGAGCTGTAGCAGCAGCCACTGGCTACTCAGGTACAGACTCGCTGTCAGCGATAGCCTCACTGTCAGCAACAGAATCATTTTTTTTACCCCTCTTCTCTCAAACACTAGGCAATCCTGCCACCACTCCCACCACCATCCCCATCACCCACCCCTACTTCAGCAATCGAATCAATCGACATTTGCTTAGACCTATGACCCTTTTCCTTTCCCCTCCTCCTTCCTTCACGGAAATTCTCCAGTTAGACTTTTGAGTCGACTCAAAAGTCAACTCTTCCTTCCTTCAAGAAAAATCTCCAGTTAGACACTCCCACGACCATCCCCTTCCCCAACTTCAGCAATTGATTCACTCGACATACCCTTTGACCTATGTCCCTTCTCTTTCTCCTTCCTCCTCCTCCTCTCCTCCCGCCGTGCCTCTCTCTCCTCCTTGCTCCTCTTGCCTCCCCCCACGCTCGACACGTCAGATACTGAGTCATCATCGCCTGCACCAGAAAAGCCTTCCCCAAATGCACCTTCCCCTGCTGCTAACATTGATTCATCTGAACTCGCGGCGCGTGATATTTTCTTTGACTTGCTCCTCTCCACTCCCTCCTTTCCTTCCTTTCCTTCCTTTCCTTCCTTTCCCTCCTTTCCTTCCTTTCCTTCCTTTCCTTCCTTTCCCTCCTTTCCTTCCTTTCCTTCCTTTCCTTCCTTTCCCTCCTTTCTCTCCTTTCCTTTCCTTTCCTTCCTTTCCTTCCTTCCTTCCTTTCCTTCCTTTCCTTCCTTTCCCTCCTTTCCTTCCTTTCCTTCCTTTCCTTCCTTTCCTTCCTTTCCTTCCTTCTCCTTTCCTTTCTTCTCCTTTCCGTCCTTGTCCTTTCCATCCTTCTCCCTTCCCTCCTTTTCCTTTCTGTCCCTCTCCTTTCCTTCCTTCTCCTTCTTCTCTTTCTTCTTTCTGTCCTTCTCCTTTTCATCCTTCCCCTTCCCTTCCTTCTCCTCACCACTCCTCTCCTTCTCCTTCCTTCTCTTCTCATGCCCCTCCTCCACACCAGCAGCTGCTGCCCCTGCTTCTCCTACACTAACAGCACCAGCAGCAGCATCAGCACCAGCAGAAGCAGCAGCCGCCGCCGCTTCAGCAGCAGCCTGCTCAGCCTTCTTCTGCTTCCTTGCAGCCCTCCTCGCCTCCTTCGCTGCAGCAGCAGCAGCCGCATCACCATCACCACTCACACTGTGCCCATGGCTGCTTGTGCTGCTGCTGGCAGGGCTCCCACCGCCGCCGCCACCACCGCCACCGCCACCACCACCGCCAATAACTTCCGAAACCGACGGCGATTTGCGGTGCTTTGAAGCCCCCTTCTCCTTCTTCTTCTCCCGGTGCTTCTTCTCCCTCTCCCCCTGGGTTTCCACCAAAGACATTGTACTGGCTCGCAGCAGAGACAGATTGTCATTGCCCTCATCATCACCCCCATCACGCCCATTCCCCCCATCACCCACAGTCCTGGCTCGCAGCAAGGACAGACTGTCCCCACCCCCATCAGCCCCATCAGTCGCATCACCCTCACTGCACTCATCCCCCCGTGGTGTTTCCAGCACCTCTGCTGCCCCTGGACTGCCCTTATCCCCACTTCGACTCTTCCTCGCCTTCCTCTCTTTCCCGGTCTTTTCCTTCTCGTTCTCCCTCTTCTCCTTCTCCTTCCTCCCTTCTCGTTCCACCATCTCCTTCTGTTCCGTCTGCTCCTTCTGATTCCCGTCCATGCCCATCCTCCCGCCCTCCCGACCCTCTTCAGTATCAGCCGTAGCATCCTCGTTCGTATCCTCGTTAAAGCCTGCCTTGATATCCTCCTTAGAATCCTCCTCAACATCGTCTTTAGTACGTTTGCTAATGTCCTCCGTAGCAAGGTCCTCAGTATCCTTGATGTTGTTACTGGTATCCTCCTTAGTATCCTCCTCAGTATACTCCTCAATATTCTCCTTTGTTAACCCCTCAGTATCCTTAGTATCCTTTAAGGCACTGCCTTCAGTATCCTCCTTCATATCCTCCATACCTTCCTCCTTAATATCCCCCATACTATGCTCCTTACTATCCTCCTTGTTGTCCTCTTCAGCATGCTCCTTAATCTCCTCGTTACCATACTCCCCGCTTCTCTCCTTATTAAATACCAAACCACCATCCTCCATATTCTCTACACCCTCGCCTTCAGCAATTGCAGCAGCGGGAGCAGGGGCAGCAGCAGCAGGGGTTACATCAGCAGCTGGAGCAGCGCCAGCCGCAGCAGGGGAGGCGCCAGCAGCAGCAAGAGCCTTAGCCACGAGCCCAATCCTCTTCTCCTCGGGCCATGCTACACTGTCCTCTCGAAACAAAGGCACGTGAAACTTCTTCTTCGTGTTCCCGTGTCCACCTCGCCCCCATCCCCCTACCCCTACCCCTGCTCCTCCTCCTGTTCCTGCTCCTCCTGCTCCTGCCGTGGCTCCTGCTCCTGCCCCTGCTCCTCCTCCTGCCGTTGCTCCTGCTCCTGCTCCTGCCTTTGCACCCGCCCCTGTTGCCGCCTCGGCCATTGCTGCAGCTGCCGCCGCTGCAATCATGCCCGAAGACCCAAAAGACACAGAGGACCGAATGGCCTGAGGAGAAGGAGGAGCAGGGGAGGAATACGAAGGGGAGAAGGAAGGGGATGGTGCGAAGCCAGAAAACCCCGCCTTTCCGCTTCTCACCCCCGCTGCTGCGCCCAACGCCGCAGCTACCACGCTGCTTCGTCCGGTCAAGGGGCTCTGGGGCCTCCCGGACCTGGGCGTGAGGTTCGGCGAGCCCGAGCCTTCGCCGAACCTGCCGATTCGGGCACCAGAGCCACCAGCCGAACCAGCTCCAGAGCCTCGGGGAGTGTTGCTGAGAATCCCGGCTGCTGTCAAACGCTCGTGAACAGGAGAGGCGTACCGTTGGGGGGAGAGGGCTGGGGAACCGGCTAGAGGGGAACCAGCTAGGGGGGAACCAGAGGCTTCTAGATGGTTCAGGGTGAAATCCTCTCGACTGAGAGAGCGGCGCCTGCTCGAGCGAAACGGCCCGGAAGCAGGTCCTCCGGAAAAGAAACCGCCGAACTCTCGAGAGGAGGACCTGGGGGTGTTGCTGGACCCAGGTGCATCCCTCAACAGGGAGTCACGAGACAGGGAATCTCGCAAGAAGGAATCTCGAGAAAAGGAGTCGCACTTGGAGCTTCCAGAAAGAGAGATGGTGACGAAAGAGCCAGCAGAGTCCGACCCCGCTCCAAACGACAAGTCGCCATTACCACCACCGCCGCCGCCGCCGCTGATGCCACGACCTGAGTGCGATAGTGCACCGTCAGCAGCAGCAGTATGGTGTGTGCTTTTGTCTGTGATTGTCTCTGTGCGTGTGTCTGGTTGAGCAAAGGAGTTGAAGCTGAGGTCGAGGCTGCGGTTACGTTGGCGCGGCGGTAACCGCTTGAGGAGCAGGTTTGAAGCGAGTGAAGGAGCGGCTTTGCTTGGACTGGCACTGGCTCTAGCAGCATCCGTGCCAGCAGCACTGGTAGCACCGGCATCAGTAACAGCAGCTGCTGCTGCTTCTGCCGCTGCAGCAGCAGCAGCAGAGGAACCAGGGATGCCAATGTCGCTCCTGAACCCTCTCATAGCCTCTAAAGAAGCTCCCTCCCCTGCCCTGCCTGCAGCTGCTCCTCCTCCTCCAACCCCTCCCACACCCTCGCCCGCCCCTGCCCCCCCTCCCCCTCCCATTCCCACCCCCCCTCCTCGGCCCAACAGGCGAAGGAACCTATTACCTTGCTCTGAGAGCCTATCAACTGCTGATGCAAACCGCTGCTCCCTCCCCTCCTCCTGTGTTTCTTCTTCCTCCCCTCCCTCATCATCCTCCCCACCCTCACTCTTCTTCCCTTCCTGCAGCCCCTGCTGCCCCTGCTGCGCCTGCTCCCTTTTCTGCTGCCCTTCCTGTTGCCCCTCTCCCCTCTCCCCTCCCACCACTCCTTGCTCTGCCTGCCTGTCTCCGGGACTTCTCAACCCCCTTGTACCACTACCTACCGCCCTCTCTCCCGCCCTCTCCCCTCCAGCACCCACCACCGAAGCTGCAATCCCTGCCACTGCTGCAGATGCTGCCTCTGCTGCTGCGGCTGCCACAGCTGCAAACCCCCCCTGTGCTGCCGCCCCTGCCGCCCCTTTTGGTGGCAAACCGCCCTGCCACCTAGTTTCTTATTCGCAAGGGCCTTCATGAATCGCTCTCTCTGCTTCCTTGCCCGCTCAATCCGTTCTCTTTCCAACTCTTTCTCAACCCTCTCCCTCTCAATCCTCTCTTTATCCTCCTCTGATAGTGGTTCCTTCTGCTCCTCTCCTTCTCCTGCCCCCGATGCTGCTGCTGCTCCGGCCTCTGATTCTCCTCCTTCCCCTCCCCCCCCTGCTCCTTCCTCTCCTCCCCTGCTTGCTCCTTCCTCTCCTCCCCAGCTTGCTCCTTCCTCTCCATCTCCCTTCTTGTCCACCCTCACCTCCTCCTTCTCCTCCCCTTCTTCCTCCTCCCTTTTCTCCTTCTCCTCCTTCTCTTTCTCCTCCTTATCCTCCATCTTTCCCCCCTCCTTTTCCTCTTCCTTCTCCCTCTCCTCCTGCTTCACCCCCCCTTCTTTTCCACCTGCTCCCACACCCCCTCGTGTGAAATTGTAGCGAGTTGACTTTTGAGTCAACTCAAAAGTCAACTCCTTCACCACCCCTTCCTTTCCACCTGCTCCCACACCCCCTCCTCCCACCACCCCCTCCCCCTCCTGCACCTTCCTTGCACTTTCCTCCTTCCCCTTCTTCAACTTCTGCAGGAAAAGCTCCCTCTGCCTTTTAGCCCTATCCTGGAAAGACTCTACCCGTAATAATGGCGTAAAACGTGGGATACTAGCCCCTCCTGCAGATCCTGAGGGAGAGGGTTTATGTGATTCGGTGGTGGTAGTGGTGGTGGTGGTGGTGGTGGTGGTGGTGTTAGTGGTGGTGGTGGTAGCGGTGCTGCTGGTGCTGCTGGTGCCGGTACCAGCGCTGGCAGCGGCAGTGGTGGTGGTGTTGCCGCTGCTGCTGCTGTTGCTACCCCACCCGAACCAGCTGCTTATGACTGGGACTTCAGTTGATGCCTGCTGCTGCTGCTGCTGCTGCTGCTGCTGCTGTTGCTTCTGCTGCTGCTGCTTCTGCTGTTGCTGCTGATCCCACGAACCCCACCCAAACCAGCTGCTAGCAGGAGCAGCAGCAGTAGGAGCAGCAGTACCAACGCTGCCTCTGCCAGTTGAACCTTCCCCACCCGAACCTCCCTCAGATGAGCCTTCCCCCACATCCTTCTCGCCAGCTCTCCCTCCCTCCCCTTCCACTTTATCAAATTTCTCTACCTTCACAACTTTGTCCAAAGTACTTTCCACTTTAGGTAGCTCCAAAGTACCTGCTCCTTGTCCTCCTGCTTCTTCTCCTTTTCCCCTTCCACCATCCTCTCCCCCTTCCCCTGCCCCCTCTCCCTTCTCTCCCTCCCCTCCCTCCCCTTCCGCCTCTTGGAATTCCACCACTTTCACCACTTTAGGCGACTCTAGTGCCGAACCAGCCTCTACTGCTGCTCCTTCTCCCTCTCCTCCCCCTCCCCCTCCCCCTCCCCCTCCCACTCGTGCAAGAAAGTCGTCATCGAAGACCACCACTTTCACTACCTTGGGTTCTCCCTCCCACCTGCCCTTCACACTCACAATTCGCTTCGGTACCAATTTCCTACACATTGCTCCTTCCGCTCCTTCCGCTCCCGCTGCTCCTGCTGCTTCACCCGCTGCTTCACCCACTGCTTCACCCGCTGATGCTCCCGCTGCTGTCTCCCTCTCTCTCTGCTGCTCCCTCACTTCGTTGCTTTTCGCTCCTACCTCTCTCTCGAAATCCGCACCTAAAGTTATGTGTGGTGTCTCATGCTCCTGCCCTTGCCCCTCCCGCAACTTTTCTTGCCGCCTCTGCTGCTCTTGCTGCTTCTCTTGCTCCTGCTGCTGCTGCTGCTGCTGCTGCTCCTGTTGCTGCTGCTGTTGCAGCAGCTGTTGCTCCGCCAGCACCTCACCCATATGCTTTTTCCTCACCCGTTGCGGCCTAGGTGCTTCAGTTACTGCTGTTGCTGCTGCTGCTGCTGCTCCTCCTCCTGCTGCTCCTCCTCCTGCTGCTCCTCCTCCTGCTGCTCCTTCTCCTGCTGCTGCTCCTCCTCCTGCTGCTCCTCCTGCTTTTGCTGCTCCTCCAAACAGCCGTCCTGCTGCTGCTCTGTTACCACCACATCAGCTTCTAGCGTGTGTGCCACCCCCTCCCTGCTCACCACTCCTCTTTCCCCCTCAGCCCCTTGCCCCTCCCTTTCAGGACTCATCTGCTCTCCAAAATCCTCAACAGCTTCCGTTCCCTCATTCGCGGCCCCATTTCTGCCTCCCGGTCCATATCCTCCAGAACCCTTGAAACTCCTTCCCTTCTGCTCCCTCTGCTCTTGCCCTTCTCTTACAGAACCCCAAACAGACCCTCCCTCGTAGTGGTCCCTTTCAGGGGGAAAAGAATTGTCTTGTTTTTTGCTCCTGCTGAGGCTCTTAGGCAACGGGTGCTCCGACAGTGGACTGACCGGCCGAGGGCTCTTGGAGAATGTGCTTGTACCGAAGATGCTTCTAGAGGGGCTTTTCACATGCGGGTTGGAAGAGCTCCTAGCAAACATGGTTTCAGCTTGGCTTTTAGCGTTCGGGCTTTTAGCGAAGATGCCTTTAACGGGGCTTTTTCCGGTGGGGCTTTTGAGTGTTGGGCTTTTGGCATGTGGGTTGGACGAGCTTCTAGCGAACATGCTTTCAACGGGGCTTCTGGCGTTCGGGCTTTTAGCGAAGATGCTTCTAACGGGGCTTTTCGCGATGGGGCTCTTAGCGAAGATGCTTCCAGAGGGGCTTCTAGGGCTGCTGGCGCTAGCGGCAGTGGGGACACTAGCAGCACTAGCAGCAGTGGGGCTGAAAGGGGTGGTGCTGCTGCTGCGTTCACTCCAGCTGGAATGCTGCTGCTGCTGCTTGCCCTGCACACTCCGAAACTCAGTACCGCTCTGAAACCCTCCCTTATCCCCCTTATCTCCCTCCCCCTTACCCCCCTTATCTCCTTTATCTTCCTTATCCTCTTCCTTCGGGCTCTTTAGCAAAGGTTTAGACATGAACTCATGACTGCCCTTATCCCCTCCCTTATCCCTTCCTCTCGGGCTTTTCAGCTTGCTCCACGCGCTAGCGATGAGATTCCGAGGGCTCTTCCCCCCGTGACCGGGGCTTCTGTTTCCCACATGGCTGGGAACCTGACTGCCGTACCTAGGACTAATCAACCCCTCACTCACCTCCCCGTCCCCCCAACCAACACTCATCCCTCCCTCTCCCACTCCCCCTCCTGCTCCTTCTCCTCCCGCTCCCCCTCCCTCTCCTCCTCCCGCTCCCCCTCCTCCTCCTCCTGTCCGGCCGCCTATCCCCCCCCTCAGGGGGCTTAGAGGCGCCAGACCAAGCAGCCTGGCTCGGGGAGTCCGAGCCTTGCCGGGAGGCTCGTCGGCGGACCGGCAGACCGGGATGCAGATTCGGGGGGAAGGTTCGGCGCCCGAGCCTGAAGACCCGGAAAGAGTCTGGGAGGAGAAAGACGGTGGTGCTGCCAGCTCTGAGGGTCCTGCCTCAGTTTCTGCTGCTGCTGCTGCTGCTGCTCCTTTCGGGCTGCGCTTGGGGCTGCGGGGGAAGAAGTGCGGCAGGTGCATGCCGTGGTGGTGGTGGCGATGGCGATGCTGCTGCTGCTGGTGGTGGTCGTCATGATGGTCGTGATCGCTGCTGTGCTCTTGGTTGCCATGTCGCTGATCCGCGTTGCTGTGACGATTGTTTTTGTCGTATTGCCGATCCTCATGCTGCTGGTTGCTCTCATACTGAGTGGGGGGTTGATGCCCTCCCTCCCCACCTTCTCCTCCCACCACCCTCTTCTCCTCCTCCCCTCCCTCCTCTTCTTCCTTTTCCTCCTCTTCCTCCTCATCAAACCCACCTCCCGGGTTGCTCTGAATACTCAAGCGGGGCGGGGGCGTGCGTGGGAGCGCGTGCAGCGTCTTCTCGGAAGCTTCCTCCCGCACCACCTCCTTCACCTCCTCCCCGCCCGCCGCTTCTTCCTCCCCCCGGTCGGACATTACATCTGACGTTACATCTGACGTCACATCTGAAATTACATCTGACGTTACATCTGACGTTACATCTGGCGTTACATCTCCCCCAGAGTCCCCTCTGGTCAGGCCAAGGCTTGCTCTCTGCTTGTTCCTCCGGCCTCCATGCAGCTGCCCCGAACCTAGTGACCCTGCTGAACCTATCGACCCTACCGAACCTAGCTCTCTTCCCGAACCTCCCGTTACAGCTCCTTCCACACGTGTAACCGCCCCACCCACCGCCCCACCGACAGTTGTAACCGCCCCTCCTACTGCGCCCCCAACAGTTGTAACCGCGCCGCCCACCGCTCCACCAACAGTTGTAACTGCACCGCCCACCGCCCCGCCAACAGTTGTAACCGCGCCGCCAACTTTACCACCAACAGTTGTAACTGCACCGCCCACCGCCCCACCAACAGTTGTAACCGCACCACCAACCTTACCGCCCACAGTTGTAACAGCCCCTCCCACCGCCCCGCCAACAGTTGACACCGCTCCTCCCACCGCTCCTCTCACAGATGAAACCCTACTCCCCACAGATGAAACTGCCTTCTCACGAGCAGATGAAACGGCACTAGTTATTCCACTAGCCGCGCCGCCAATCTTAGAAAGGCCCCCTCCTAAAGCAGCAAAGGAGCCTCCTAGTTTCCCCGAATGAGTCTTAGCAAAGGAAGACCCTGAAACAATCGAAGAGTTTTTAACCAATTGCTGCCGATCGTCGTTGGTACTGCTGCAGGGGGTGCTGCTGCTGCTGCCCTCACTATCACTACCACCACCACCAGCAGCAGCACCACCACCACCACCACCACCACCGCCGCCGCTGCCGCCGTTGCCACTGCTGCTGATGCTGCTGCTGTTAATGATGTTGCTGCTGGTTTCAGGTGCTGAAATCTCCCATTCTGCCTCTTCCTCTGCAAGTCTCCCTGCCTTACCCATGCCACCCATCCCACCCATGCCCTTCCTGCTCTTCCCCAGACGCGACCCAATACCCCCCACCGCCCCCCCAATCCCTCCCACCGCGCCCTTAATCCCCCCCTGATCCCCCCGCCGATATCCGCAATACCCCCTACCGTGTGGGTGATTCCGCCGACTAGCCCCTTCCTGCTGCTGCTGACCCCCTTGCTGATGGAATGAGCGAAGCTTCCGCGTAATTCCCCAACAGTGCTCGCAATACCTCCCACCGTATGCGCTATCCCTTCCCCTAAGCTAGACGACGAATGCGGCACCCCCCCATGCCCATGTGCCGTTGCCCCGTGAGCGGCGGCTTTAATACACTCTTCCATAGTAGTTCCCGCCTCGTCTAAATACCACTCGATAGTAGGCTCCCAAATTTCCCGGAGCACCTTAGGCTCGGGAGGAGCTTCGGCGTCGTCGCCGGACAGGAGGTCTAGGCTCGGGAACCGAGCCAGGACGTCGCGTTTGGCTTTCCACGCGGCGTGGGCAGCGGATAGGGCAGCCACGGCGGCTTTTCGTGGTTGGGGTCGCTCGTTGAAACCTAGGGACGTGGGATGGGATGAATCGGCTGGACAGAGGAGGGAGGAAGAAGGGAAGAAGGGAATTGGGAGACATGCGGGGAGGCTGAGTGAAAGGCGGTCCATAGGGCTGGCATTAGCGGCGGATTAGGGCAACGATGGCAGCCTTGCGAGGGGAGCGGCGGGAGGGAGGACGGTATGGGCGGGGAGACGGGGAGACGGGAGCTCGGCTATCGCTTATTTTGAAAGCGAAACAATAATCAGCTAATAGTTTCGTTTAGCCTTGGTAGTTTAAGAGGAGTCAATATTCGACAGGGACTGACTTACCAGTCGATGACGCACTGGTAACAGTAATGAAATATCAGGACGCCTTAGCAGTACTGCGTGCTCTTGCGTTGGCTCGTATCTTGTTTGCTACGCGTTAGTTTATTCGAGAACAGTCGGGCGCGTGTGTCCGTTGGGCGCGTGTGCCCTACTCGTTTTTCTTCCCTGCTCTTTCAATGTGCCCTACTCGTTATTACTCCGACTCGACGAGCGGCGATCGTGGCAAACTCGCCGACGAACTCGAGTGCATTTTCGCAGGGCATGCGTGGCGAAGTCGCGCGAAAAGGAACAGACGGAAATCGACGAACGCATATGCTATTCTCGGAAAAAAAAAAAAAAAAAAAACAAACAAACAAACAAACAAACAAACAAACAAACAAACGAAAAGAAAGAAAGAAAAAAAAACCAACACAGAAAAGTAAAGAAACGGAGCATTCTGCTCCAGATTTATTCGTACCTGTTAGCAGCCACTTTTTCAGTCGTTCGATTTCGCCCGGCTTCTCTCGCTGCAGGTCAACCGTATTCTTCAGCAGATGCTCCCACGCGTCGTTTGACGAAAGCGCGATAACCGTCCACGAAACCGTCCCCTCGTCTTCGCGAATCGTCGCGAACGCGCCCAGCGGCCTCACTGAGTACAGCTGTCCCGGTTTCGCAACCATGCCGCCGATCTCTATAACGCGTACGGGCTCGCCGGCGAATGGCAGCACCCGGCCATTCCCCACGTCGCATTCGTCCTTGGGATCTTGCCACGTCTGCGTCGCGATTCCGATGTTCCACGTGGCAGTGGCCGTGTACCGCGCCGCGCCGCCGTCTCGCGCCACGTGGCGGATAGGGTTGTAGTCCTCGTCTTTCGCGACTTCGACAATCGCGGACGCGCCTTTCGGCGTGTGGCAGAGGAAATTAAATCCGTCGTCCGCGGCGCGGTGCGGTACGTCGTGCCAGGGGGAAATAATCTTAAAATCGTCGTCGTCGAAGAATAATCGACGGTGCGCGAGAGTGCCTTCCGGGCCGAAAGCGACGACGGAGATTCCGTCCGCGTGCTCGTCGCGTTTCATCTTCGACGCCATTGTTGCTCCGTACTCCGTGCTCTTTTTACAAACGAGACCTTCTCAAACCACGTGTGCAATGCCAGGTGGGCAGCCTCACGTGTACCAGACCACGAGTGCCCACGCCTCGAGGAAATAGCCGCATTTCATTGGCAGATGCAACGCGGTTGGGGCGACGCTCGCCGAAGAAGCACGGCCATGGCTAAATCTCGAAAAGGTAACAAAACAACCATTTTCAGTAGAAGCGGAGATGCAGAGAGAAAAAACAGGTTGTCATTCACACAGCAACGAAGCGAGGAATGGGTGCCGCTCAAACTACCAAGCAAGGATTAGGAGCCGCTCAAGGCAAGCACGAAGCGGAAGCGGGAAAAAAAGTGGGGCGGGGAGGGGAGGAAGTGGAGCAGCGGCGCCACGGATCATCAGTGGCACCGCATTATAATACACCAGACGGTCACTGAAGCGCAACATACCGCTGTCAACCACTCTAAAACTCAGAAAGTGATCTGTTCCAGGTGTGCGGGGGCGCCAGTGTGTTGTGGTGAGGTCGGGCAACCAACCATCGACCCTTCACCCTTCACACGTTGTGGTGCGTTGTGGTGAGGTCTGCCCGTTTACTTTCAGCAACCACGGTTTTGTTCGGTTCGTCACGACGAAAAACGGTTAATGACGATAGCTGCTGATTACCGCGTGGAAACCCACGGAACCGTACCGCAATCAACGCTTCACCAGCCATAGCTGATTTTTGTCTTGGTTGGGAGCATTTCCATCTCACCGCCTGCACCTCTTGCCATGCCACCACACTGCTGACCTGCCCCTGCTGTAAATATCTATGTGCTGTGCTGTGCTTCTCGTCCCGCCCAGCCTCATTCCTCCCCCTAAGTTTTGGACAGACCCTGCAATATGTGTGAGTTTCAGCTGATGCTCCTCCTGATTTGTTTGTTTTGTTGATGGAATGAAAGCATCGCTGTTTTGCTTCCAGGTTGGTATTGTACTTACGAATGTACAATCGAAGCGCATTACAGTCACACTTAATAGCTAGGCAAAATGTTTTTGAAACGAGCCAGCTATTTCGCTTGGGTTTCACGCACGTCGCCACTGGCATAAGGTGATTGTAGGGTTGCATGGTTGTAACATGTTTAACTTTTCCCAGGTACTGTGGCAAGCCATCAGTGGCTTCGCGCTGCATTTCGGGTCCCTGTGTGAGGAGACGAACGCCACTAGCGAAGTCAGCGAAGGCTTCGCTCTAAATCGGTAAGAAGCTCGCAGCATTTGCTGTAGTGCTTGTCTTGTGTGCCAAGGCCGAAGCGCTCTGCACATCTGCCCGACAAAAACTACATGCCACCAAAAAATTGAGTGACTGTACCCCTTGTGACATCACCCGGTAAAACATGCAATTGTGAGTGAATTTCTAATAGTGGTGAGCAATTGTTTTGTGATAAGGTGAGCGTCGACTGTACTTCGAAAAGGTCAACGCGATGGTTCGTCTGCATCCGCGTGATAGGGCAGGTGAAAATGCTGAACTGTGCTTCTCGTCATCTCCTTGTCTCCAAGTTTTCTTGCACGATTGCATCATCCTTGTCTCTTTGGGTTCTCCAAGCGGGAAGCTGGGGCACGGACAAAAGGTGCGTGTACTGTACTGCACTGTGCAAATTGCGTTGACGATAATACGATACTGTATTAGCAGTTCCGTTATTTCTGTGCTGCGAAATCTTGAACTCAACACGTACTGAAGGGTCCTAACTTTTGGAAAGCCTTTCACAACACATTAAAGTCACTCCGAGTACATAACAGCATTCTAAAAACAGCAGGACTCGTTAAATCAGTAGGATGAGTGAAGATTTGCCTGACAGAGCAGCTAACTGCTTTGGAGTCTATTCTTCAGGCTGGGTCAAAGAAAAACTCCCCTCTATCCCTCTCCATTGCCTCCTTCAGTGCCCTCCGCACGGCATCCGTCGTCCCTCTCTCGGTACACCCGCACTTCCACCATTTTGCGGAAGCTAACTCTCCTGGGACTGGGAGGAACCATGGCCAGCGGCCCAGCTGCTGCTGGAGTGGCTGCTGCTGCTGCTACTGGTGCTGGAGGTCCTCCTGCGCCTGCTGGTGATGCTGCTTGTGGCACTGCTAGTACCTCTGCCGTTCCCGTCACCGTTCCTGTCGCCGTTCCTGTCGCCGTTCCTGCCGCCGCCACCGCTGCTGTTGCTGGAGCTGGTAGTGTTGCTGTTGCTGCTGTTGCAGCCGCTCCTGCAGCAGCAGCAGCAGCAGCAGCAGCAGCAGAGTTACAGCCATTGTCCGGTGTCAGTTGCACAGGCTCACTAAAGCTGACCCTCCTGGGGATTGGGGACGTCTTTTGAGGCGCGTCAGAATCCGGTGTCACTCCCATGGGCTCGCTGAAGCTGACTCTCCTGGGAATTTGGTGAGGTGGTGAGTGGTGAGGTGGTGTGTGGTGAGGCGGTGTGTGGTGAGGCGGTGTGTGGTGAGGCTGTGTGTGGTGAGGTGGTGTGGACTCTACATGCCTCTCTTGTCTGCTGCGTGCGAGAGTGTGGGCAGCTGCATGGGGGTGGGTGTGTGGGGCTGTGTGAGAAACTGAGTGGGATGCGTTATAGTGAGGTGCATTATACCCGCCTGCTGCACTGTTGTGTGTGGCTTCATTTCCAGTGGGCATATCAGGGAAGGTGACTCGCCGTGGACTGGCAGGGATGGCGGCATGAGAAACGGTGTGGGATGCATTGCAGTGCGGTGCACTGCGGTGAGAAGCATTACATTGTGGTTTCATCCCCTCGGAGACCATATCAGGGAAAGTGACTCGGCGAGGACTAGAGGGAATTGCACCTGAAGGGCCGCCACCAGCATAGGTAATCTTACTCTCATAAGCACTTGCAGCCTTGTTCACTGCTCCTCTGCTACTGTCTATGCCACTGCTTCTGCTGCTGCTTTTACCGCTGCTTCTGCTGCTGTTTCGGCTGCTGCTGCTGCTCCCACCAGAGCTGCTGCTGTTACCACTGCTGCTGCTGCTGTTGTTGCTGCTGCTGCTATAGTTGCTGTGGTTGCTGCTGCAAGTACTGCTCGTGTCTGTGTCACTTGAACTTGAACCAGGGATAGCAGCAGAAGCAGCAGCTCCAGCTACAGCAGCAGGGTCAACATTAGCTGCAGCAGCGATGGAAGCAGAAGAAGGTGGGGGGCTCGTTGCTTTGAGTGCACTCCTCCTTGGACTCGCCACAGGTCTAGAGGCCACAGCAGCACCAGCACCAGCAGCACCAGCACCAGCAGCACTACCAGCAGCAGCAGCAGCAGCAGCAGCACCAGCAGCACCAGCAGCTGCCGTAGGAGCAGCAGCAGCAGCAGCAGCAGCAGCAGCACCACCACCACCACCAGCACCAGCAGCAGCAGCAGCACCACCACCACCACTACCAGCAACAGCAGCAGCAACGCCAGCAGCAGTGGCCCTCCCAGCCACACGAACCCTACCCCAAGCACCACCCCCCCGCTGCTGCAGGCGCTGCCTCTCCTCCTCCCTCGCCCTCTCCAAATCCCTCTCCTTCTCCTCCTCTCTCTCCTCCTCCTCATTCCGAACCAGAGTCACCACCTCTACAAGTTTGTCAAAGCTGACACGCCTTGGGCTCGGAGATTTGTTGTGGTTGGCACCAGACCTGACTCCAGAGCTGACACCAGGGCTGACACCAGAGCTGACACCAGAGCTGACACCAGAGCTGACACCTCGTGGGCTTGGGGATGTGTTCGCGTTCACATCGAAGCTCACTCGTTTCGGGCTGGGCGATGTGTGACTCAATTCAAGATTGACACTCTTTGGGCTGGGCGATTTGTGAGTTGCATCGGAGCTCACCAATCTTGGACTCGGTGATTTGTTGTGACCCGCGTCAAAGCTGACTCGCCTTGGGCTCGGTGCTTTTTGATTTGCTTCAAAAGTCACTCGCCTTGGGCTGGGCTGATAGCTCATCATCCCATATGATCCTGATACTGGCGCCGAACCTGCTGCCGAACCTGCTGCTAAACCTGCTGCGGACGCAAAAGATGATGTCGAATCTGCGGCTCTGCCCACAACCTGCTGCTGCTGCTCCAGCGGCTGCGGCTGCTGCCAATCGAAGCTCACGCGCCGAGGGCTTGCTTGGGGATTCTTCCTCATACTCTGCCCTGCTGACTTGCCCCCTCCCTCTTCTTGCCCCTGCTGCTGCCCCTGCTGCTGCCCCTGCTGCTGCCCCTGCTGCTGCCCAACCATTGATGCCTGCTGCTCCGGCAGTCCCTTCTGCTGCTCTGCTAGTGCTTGCTGCTGTTTGGTTGACAGACCTCCACTTCTTGACTCGCCATAAGCTTCAGGTACGGCGAACCGAACCACAGGAGAGGTGGTGCGAGGAGGCCTGGCAGCCAGGCTTGGGCTCGGGAACCGAGCCTGCGGCACAGGCCCGGAAGCTCCAGCGCTGGGAAGGGAAACGCGAGGAGAAGGTTTGGCAGGAGAGGGGAGGGCTCTAGGGCTGGGAGCAGCAGAGGCGTGGGGATGGGATGGTGTCGGTACCAGGATAGGTGCGGGTGCGTTTCGGCGAAAGGAAGCCCTTGAAGTTGCCTCTGCTGCTGCTGCTGGTGCTGCTGCTGGTGCTGCTGCTGCCGGTGCTGCTGCTGCCGGTGCTGATGCTGTTCCTCTTGTTCCTTCTCCTACCCCTCCTGCTCCTCCTCCTCCTCCTCCTGCTGCTGCTGCTCCTGCTCCTGCTGCTGCTGCTCCTCCTCCTGCTGTTCCAGATATCACAGCAGCTGCTGCTTGCAGTGCGTCTATCGTCCTGCCACCTGCACTCACCACTGCCGAAGCTGCTGCCACCGCCGCCGCCTCTTCCGAATTTTGAGGCGCCTGAAAACCCCCCTCCGGATGCGCTGACGTGGACACTGCTGACGTGGACAATGGTGACGTTGACAACGGTGGGTTTGACGTGTCCGAAAAGGAGGGGGAGGAGAAAGGAGGAGAGATGGGGGAAGGGGATGAAGGGGGGAGAGAGAGTGCAGGGGAAGGGGGGGAGTGTACAGAAGTGTAAGGGGAGCAGAGAGAAGAAGATAGAGGGAGGAGGGGGGGGGAGGAGGAGAAAGCAGGGGAAGGGGGAGGGAGGAGGAGGTCGGGAGAGGAAGCTGAGCGTCTGAAAATATTCCTGGAAGCTTCCCCTGTAGCAGTTGCACCAGCAGCGGCAGCAACAGCGGTGGTATGAAGTAGCAGGTCAGGGGGAAACTGGGGGCTGAAAAAACCCGTAGGGAGTAAACCGCCTGTAAGGGGTATGGGCGGGCGATGAAGGTGCTTTGAGGCGGTTGAATGCGGTTGTGAGGGGCTGAGCGTAGTTGGGTAGGCGGGAGGAGTGTGAGACCTAGTCCTGTGGTGATGCCGGCCTTTTTCCTTCCGGACCCTTGTTGCTGCCCCCTGTTCCGGTCTTGTTCCTGCTGCTGCTGCTCCTCCTCCTCCTCCTCCTCCTCCTCCTCCTCCTCCTCCTCCTCCTCCTCCTCCTCCTCCTCCTCCTCCTCCTCCTCCTCCTCCTCCTCCTCCTCCTCCTCCTCCTCCTCCTCCTCCTCCTCCTCCTCCTGCTCCTGCTGCTGCTGCTCCTCCTCCTCCTCCTCCTGCTGCTGCTGCTCCTGCTGCTGCTCCCACCCCTGCTGCTCCTGCACCAGCAGCAGCCACCTTCCCTGTCTTGCTGATCCCGGCCCAATCCACAAACCCTAATCTCGCCCCACCTGTATTGGACCCAAGACGCACAACAGCAGCGCCTGCACCCCCACTGGCTCTGGGGGAGGTGGTACCTGTCTTTGGGGAGGTGAAACCTGTTCTGGGGAAGGTCATACCTACCTTTGGGGAGGCGTTACCTTTCCTGGGGGAGGCGTTACCTGTCCGTGGGGAGGTCATGCTTGTCCAGGGGGAGGTGATACCTACCCCGGGGGAGGTGATATCCATCCTAGGGGAGGTAAAAAGTGGCTTTGGGGAGGCTTTACCAGGGGAGGTGGTATCTCGGGGAGAAAAGCCTTCAAAAGCAGAGGAGTTCGTACTTCCGTTAGGAGAAACATCTACTGGGGAAGTGGAGATTGTAAGGGAAGCGGGGCTGCTCTTACGGGGGTTAAATGCGTTTGGGCTGATCTGATTGGAGCAGGGCGATTTCGGTGAGAGGAGGGCGATCCGGGGGGAGGGAAGGGAATTTGCGGCTGGGCTGCTGCAGGTAGAACTGGCAGAAGGGGAAATACCCCCAGCGGAAGTTGCAACAAAAAAGGGTGAATTCCCCTTGAAACTTGAACTGACCAGGTTCTGAATTTGCAACTCCTGCCGAACCGCCTGTTGCGCGGACCCCACTCCGCGAGGAGATGCTTGCGGATTTTTTTGCGCAACCCCTCCACCTTGCGGCTGCATCTGCCCGACTCCTCCTCCACCCCCGCCCACCGAATCCGCGGAGTGCGTCCGCGGAACCGTTTTTCGCCGCGCGGGCGGCGGAGGGCCCGCAATTCCCGGTCGACGCGGTGACATGAGTGCACCGCTAGCGCCGCTTCCACCGCTGGTAGCAGCCGAAGCGGAGCCGGCTTGCGGAAAACGTTTGCCGGTTGAAGTTGAAGAAGCAGCGGTGGGCGGGAGTACAGGCGACGTTGGCGGAGAGCGCCGTCGCGGCGCGGAGGACGCTGCGGGCTCATGTGGCCGCGCCTTTTGCGCCCTCGTGACTTGCGCGCCCGTCGTGACTTGCGCCGGTGCCGTGAGTTGCGCGCTCGAAACTCCGACTCGCGAGCTCGGAAGGTGCGTGCTCACGACCGTACTCAAGGAGCAGCAACGGCGGTGCGTCGCGGAGCCTTTCCCCGCGCCTCGACGGCCTTCTCCGGCGCCGCCACCGCCTGCGCCGCCTCCACCTCCTCCGCCGCTCCCGTCGCAACGATTCCCGGCGCCGCGAGAATTAGGAGTCGTGGGGGCGGCGACTACCTCTGGAACGGCTGCTGCGGCGGTACTCGCGCGGGTGATGCCGACGCGATTGAATCGCCGCGAGCCAAAATCACCGTCGACTGTAGCGGCAGCAGCAGAACTTGCAGCAGCGGCAGCAGCAGTTGCAGAATCATTCGTCGCAGGACTTCCAACAGCCGCGCGCGTCGCGTCCGCCGCGCGGGCCGTTACCAGAGACCGATGGAATTGATTCCAATCGAAGCGCGCGGACCAGAGTGCCGCCTCCTGACTCGCCGACAGTTTTGGGCTTCCGCCGCCGGGGGAAGAGAGAGGGGCTGGCGCAGGGGAGGAGAGAGGGAGAGGCGCGGGGGAGAAGGTCGGCGCGTGGAGAAAAAGCGCGGAAGAATTGTCCCCACACGCCTGGTGGTCGAGGCGCGATGCATGCTGCTGCTGCTGCTGCTGCTGCTGCCCTTGCTGCGGAGAAGATCTGTCGTCTTCCTGCTTCGACGTCAATCGCGGAGCTTCCATCGATGACACGTCAACGAACTCCGTCTCCTCTTGTCGACCATGGACGGATTCCGTCTCCTCTCGTGAAGAAAGGACGGACCCCGTCTCATCCTTCTCAGTACCATCCGCGGAAACGTTACTTGGCGGGTGCGCGTCGAGCGGGCTTGTCCCGGGTACTTGTTGATGCGCCATGTGCGGCGGCGGCGGCGGCGGGAGGTGCGTGGCGGAGAATGAGTGGCGACGCTGATCACGTGGTGGCGCGGACTGCTGCAGCTGGGTGTGTGGATGTTGCGGGGTTTGCGGGTTTTGCGCGGTATGCGGGAGTCGCGGGGAACGCGGGGGGTCCGCTTGGAGTCCGGCGGAAGGGGACGAGGCTCGACTGCTACAACTGCGGCGGTTATGTCGCAAAGGAGATTCCTGGTTTGCACGACTTTGAGTCGTGGGTAGGCGAGCCGCGGAAACGGCAGCGGCCATGGGGGAGAGGATTGCCTCTCCTTGAGCTTTTTAATCGTTCGCGGTGCGCAGCAAAACGGTGTGAGAAAGCTACTGAAGGGGTCTTACAGGAACCAACTATTCCGCGTTAGTAGTAGCTTTCCTATTAGCGCTGAAGAATCCGTGTGACGTTTTCGAAGGGGGCGCGAGGTGCGATTGACTTTCTACGCGCCGAGCTACCAAGAATCTCTCTTCAAAGAGAGGGTGCAGAATACAGGTCAGGTGAGGAAAAAATGTACGACTACCCGGAGCGGCGATGACTACGCAGTAGGAGCTGCAGCAGGAAGTACGTTCAACGATATCGACGCGGCGAGGTATTCCACTTGAGACACATGTCTTGCTGAACCAAACAGCTAAAGCAGCCTTCGCACGGAAAGTAAACTTAAAAGTAGAGACCAAGCGGCCCTACAACCAGAAACCGTGTCGAGGGAGCCGTGTACGAGGGTCGAAAAAACGTCGGAAACAGCAGCTTTTAGAAAAGGTACGTCGCGCGGCGTGGCGATAGTTGATTCCGTTGCGTGGACTGGTCCGGCCAATCAGGCCCGAGTGTGAGGCCCAATGATGACAAAAATGGTTCATGAAATACGAAATGAGGCTCTTCACGGCGATTCGACCGCCGAAACGAAACTCGATCGTAGAGGCCATGGTGAAGCCATGGGCTTGCCGTTTAGGAAAGTTGTCTCAGCGTGTAAAATGGTGTATGATTGTGAAGATGGTCGGGAAGAAAGCGGCTCTAGGGCGGTTTCAAAAACGTGTTCGATAGTGAATGCGCGAAAAGCAGGAGTGCTGATTTTGCCAACGCAACAGCAAAATTTGACAGAAGAATTCTACTGGCCAGCACAATGTGAGCGTGTTTGCCCTCGACAACTAGTGCAAGATACATCCAGTGAACCTCAACCCTGCAAAATGGGCTCGTCGGTTTGGTACGGTATAACACTTTTCATTTACTATAATAAACGGTGTGAGGCGCTTTTTATTCGGCTTCCTTGAACGCAAGTTTGCAGCATCTGCTGCTGAGCTGAGCTGCTGTTGGCGTTGGGTTGGCCCAGAGCTGTGCTGCTGCGAGCCTGCGACGCCAAAGAACACACACAACTTGGTTTGTGCTTGCTGGTTTAGGTTGGCTGGCTGGGTTCCGCTGGCAGGGCCGAACGGAAACACCCACCAGCACAGCTATGGGACGAGAGGGGTACACCCTGTTTCTCGAAGTTCGGACAATCGGGAGCCCCGGCTACAGTGCGCACGTGTGCTTGGATTCAGCGGGCTGGTGCTTGTAGCCGAAATGCACTTCGGGAGAACGGTAAACAACGGTTCATGGAAAAAAACGTGCCTTTGCGTTAGGTTGCATACGGTAAATGTGCTTATATTGTATGTTCTGGGACCAATTTGGACGCATTCATGTCAGTACATCCGGCTTGTCAGTATGGCGAATGTCAGTGTGGCGCGAAACAGGGTGTATGGGTGTGGAGGGAGGGAGGGGGGTTTTGGCCGGAAAGTGCATATTCTGTTTCCCAGCTGGCGGACAACAGCGATGTGTTGGACAATCGAGAGATGTGTTGGGGCTGGTTTACTGTAGTCAAGTGTATTTCTGGATGAAACCTCGCTTACGGGAGAATGAAAATTTTTATATTGCGGCGAATTTCACATTTCGCGTCCTTCTAAAGCATTTGCACAAACACCTTGTGGGTGCTCTTGCGAAAACCTACCATTTGCTGTTTTCTCCCAGCAAACACTGAACCCACATCAGAAAACCAACGCAAAGTTCCACCCCCAAACTTGACACTTTCGGGCAACCCGTCTGACCAGGTTCCGGCAACCTTTTGTACAGCTGTCATGCCAACACACCCATTCAACATGTGTCGTACTCTACAGTTACGTGAATATCACTGTATTTAATCCACCTAATCAAATCGAGGATACTCGTACAAAAAGAACAAAACCCACATCAGAGCGGATGCACTTTCTGTTTGAAGCCACGCCAACAAGCTACCGTACAGTTTCAGGGCCCAACTTGCATTCTCGTCGGGGCCCACACTGCTATACGAGAGCCACGATCAAGTCCTTGTACATTTCTCCAAATGATAGATATAAATATACAATACATAAATATATATACATACCCAACTAGGCCAACTAAGCCCTTATGTGCCAACCAATTTTCTGGGGGCTCTTCAATGATGAACGTTGTTCAATGGTGACGTCTTTTCAATGCAAGAGCCTACCAACAATGGTGGCCCCCACCACTCTCAATATACCGTATTACCCCGGATAAAAGCGCAGGTGCGCTTATAATAAAACGGTGTTTTTTGGGGGGGTGCGCTTCTAATTGAGGTGTCTGTATAAGCGCATGCGCGTATAATACGGAAAACAAAAATGAAATTCACTTTTAAACATACTAAACTGAAGCCCGCAATAAGGCGAATCCACCGGACCATGCAGCACGTGGGAACGTGCATGGTTTTCAGGCAAAAACAGCCGCGGTGCGGTTTCCCACCGCACAATGCTGTCTAGAAGCATCGAACGTGACAGCACTGACGGGGATGTTGCTGTGCGGCCCAATCACAGCCGCATGCGCTGCCACGCAAGTGCATTTCTTTCGAACCCTCTCGAAGGTTGGGGAAGTTTCCCTGCCAGCGCAGCGGATATGCTGCCACGCAGGTTCCTCTACGGGGGTAGACGGGGGAACCCTGCCTGTCATTGACGAGGACCCCGCGCCGCTAGGTTGCAGGGGTCCCCGTCGTTGCCCATTTGTGCACCCTCGTCTTCATTTTTTTCATTCAGTTTCTACTCTAGCCCGCCTGGCTGGCGAAGCCATGGCGGAATTCAGTGGGATGCACTTTCTTTACAAGAAGAAACCACCACGGCCATGGCGACTTACCGCGGACGGGTGGTTTACCCGTGAGCCTCCTGTGCCACCTGCACCACCTGCACCGCCTGCTCCGCCTGCTCCGCCTGCTCCTCCTGTACCTCCTGCTCCTCCTACTCCCCCCGCTCCTCCGAATCCTCCGAGCCCTCCTGTTCCTGACCCGAATTCCCACCAGCGGCCCGTGCTCCAGCTTTACTTGCCAGCCACCTTCGACGAGTGGCTGTCTGAACCGGACACACCCAAGGCTCCCGATGTGGTTGTCGCTGCTCCGCCGACTGCCCCGCGGTGGGGAAATCCTGAGGATTGCACGTGGGACGAGTCGGCCGTGGGCGCCGACGATGACGTGGCCGCCGATAAACAACCTGTTAAATTGTAATGTGTTACATGTTGGTAGGCTGTAGTGGGGTAGCCAATATGGGGTACAACCCCAACTAGGGTTTGCTACTTGTACCCAACTGTTTCATTCAATGCACCATTCTTGCCTAGTCTTGTTGACATGGTATTCAGAGCAGGAGGTCCCTAGGACCTACCGACCGTTTTTTTTTAGGGCCCACCACCGCTCGCATGCGGTTACCACGCTACCCCGTGCCCTAGCCTAGCTGCGCCCTCGTGCGCCCTCGTTAGCGCCCTCGCGCGCCCTCGTTAGCGCCCTCGCGCGCCCTCGCTGCGCCCTCGCGCGCCCCTCGTTAGCGCCTTCACGCGCCCCAGTTAGCGCCCTCGTGCGCCCGCGCTGCCCGCCCGTCGCGCTGCCCGCCGCGCTGCCCGCCGCGCTGCCCACCGTCGCGCTGCCTGCCGCGTCGCCCGCCAGTCGCGCAGCCCGCTGCGCTGCCCGCTCGCCGCGCTGCCCGCCCGTCGCGCTGCACGCCGCGCTGCCCGCCCGCTGCGCTGCCCGCTGCGCTG